TGTGCATTGAATTGAGAGAAAGCAATTCTAGTAAGGATAATTGTGCCATGAGTAACCTTTTTTAAGAAAAAAGTATTGATGTAACTAAATAATTTATTATGTTTATTAGCTACTATAACTGTGTATAAAAGAAAGTGAAAATATAGTTTTATGATTTTTGATTAAGTGTGTTTTGTAATGTGCATGTTTTAGCATTCAAAGTGATTTGCCAATATTTATTTGGTTATTAATGGTTTTAAAATAAAATTTAGTACTATATATATATATATATATATATATATAGGTGTGAAAAGTAGAAGTGGTTATATGCGTGTGAAATAAAGTAAGATCATAGGGGTGGGAGTTCACCCTGAGTGTGTAGAGATGTGTGTGTAAAAACATCATATGTTTAAGCTGACACCATAAGACATTCGGTGCAGCACATTATTTGGAATTATTATCATGGAATATCTGAGCAATCTGGAAACTCCCTATTGCCTATGAGGGTGCGGTTAGGAGTCAATAATACTCTTATAATGTGTGTGAAAGGGGGAAACTGTAGTTTAGAAATGGGACATAATACCTTTAGTCGAGTATTTCTACCATTAAAGATGTGCTCGGATCAATATGTGATCAGTCCAATAAAGTCTATGGTCCCAATTGAGGAGATTAGGGGATCAATAGATAGAGGATCATGCTAATATGTGTATGGTTTTTGTAAGAAATGACTGCAATTGCATATTTTTATATATAATTAATAGTTGTAAATGTTAAAATGGTTTGATTTACTTATATGTGGTTATTATTGTTAGTGGACATTTAATGAAGTATTTTGGTTACTAAGATTATTAACTCACTCATAACTATTTAAAAATTTCAAGTTCTAATGTTAGGAGCTCAAAAGGGAAAGATTCGAGCTGAGATTAGAGAATCTCTTTCTAGCCCACTTGGGATTGGTGTAATGAACTTGATTGTGTAAATAATGTGTTATATATAAGTTTTCATAAGATAACATATGCATGTAGGAAAGTTATTGCACTTGTGAGTGTATTTGTATAACCTGGCTCTATAATGTGTACATTTGTGATGTGTGTGACGTTGAAGTCATACAGGGCTGACTTATAATGCAAGTGCATTTGAATATAATGTGTTGTGGTGAAAGTGTTTAAAGTTTGGTTAAGTAGTGTATGTGTGTGATATTGTGTAGGTAATTGATTAATCGGGTGTTAAATGTCCTTTTAAATGAGGTCAAGGCCCTAAAAATGGCCAATGACACTTAGTTTGGAATTGGGATGCTTGGGTAGGTGAAAATGATTCAAAATGATTATTTTGCATTTGAGTGTTCAATTTTTAAATGAATCATCAAATTCAAACAAAATCGATATCATTAGCTAGATTTTAAAATAATTTTCATATGGGCACTTGAACTATCTCAATCGACATCTAATGCAAAAATGAGGCACGTTAGAAGTTTGTATTGGATGTGCTATTTTGACAACAAATTTTGATATTTACGTTGCGGTACATGGTGCACATGCCGCAACGCATGACACAGAATGAGAACATGTGACTCTGTATCATATGTCGTGGCACATATGTCACATGCCACAATATGTGGTTCAATTCTGCCTAAAACTACCATTTTACCTTTGTTTTCTTTTGGTGCTTTGTATAGGTGATTTTTATGCTTCCGTTGCATATGAATAAAATTTTAACCTAATTGAAATATTTTTCCAAATAATTGTTATGTGGGATCCTAATCTTTTATGGTTTTTTATTTAAAACCTCAGTGTGGTTGTATGTTAGTATGTAATATCAGAAGGTCATTATAGGAATCTTCTCTTTCATGTAACCTAGCTGACTGATTATGGAAAGAGGCACAATACTCTAGCTTCCATAAGTAGTGTCAAATTGAATTGAATTTAATTTAAGACAATTTTTCTTGAATCTTAATTAGAATGTTATTTATGAAATTAAATGTGTTCTTTAAATAAGACCAAGATGCAACTGTCAATAATTAGTTAGTCAATAGTTCTATATTTAATGTTTTATTCACGTAGTTTGTTTACATCTTTGCTCTCTATGTATGAAATATAAATGCTAGTCATTTTGTATCTCATGCTATTTAATTGCAATATGACTTTCCAAATGAGAGGCTGTGATTAGAGAGCTCAACTACAACCTAAAATACCACAGTTGGACATTTAACAAGAATAAGTTGTGAATTGACTTCTTGTAATTTTAAAATTCAAATTAACAAACTTTTTAATTGACACACATTGACTTGTTTATTTCCCTTTTGCACTTGTTAATACAGCAAACTAGAGCTGTTAGGACTTGCAAAAGGAAGTTCATTAAGTCCTCCCAATTTGGCGACAACAAACTCTCATTTTCCGCCATTAGGTTCAAGCATTCAGAGCACACAACCCATTTAGTTTTTTTTGGCATGTGTTGCTTTTTTGTAAATGGATATATTAGTATGTGTTGCTTTTTGTAAAAAAGGTTTACTAATATGAGTATATCTTTATAAATAGAGTTTCTTGGTATGCAATGCCTTTTATAAAGTGATTTATTTGTATAGGAAAAGATTTCATATGGATATTTGTTCACAAATTAGATGAAATAACAACATGAAATTATTTGATGCTAATGAAAATAATAGTTTATTGATATAAGTTATTAATTTCCAAAGTTACTGACTAGTTCTTCATTTTCCAAACTCAAATTATTCATTTTTCCCTACCCTAGTTGTTAATTTCACACACTACAATTGTTCATTTAATTAATGTGACTTTTTTCTTCTGAAAGTAATTTAAACCTATTAAAAGACACTTACAAATTATCTTTATAATAGTACTTCACTTTTACAGAAGTCATAAATTTTGCTACAAGAGTTGTTGATTCACATAGTTTCACTTGATTTTATTTTGAGTACTGTTATCATGGTAGAAAGACTTATAAATTTTCCATACTAAAGTTGTTCATTTTTCATACTAAAGTAATTAATTTTCCCCACAAATCGTGTTTATGCACGTAACTTCACTTAACTTTATTATTAGTGATATTATCACGATAAAAAGAGTTGCAAATTGTCCATATTGAAATTGTTCATTCCCCATACTAAAGTTGTTAATTTTCCTACAAGAGTTGTTTGAAGCTTCACTTGATTTTATTCTTAGCAGTTCTATTATGGTAAAAAAAAAAAGTTGCAAATTCTCAATATTAAAGTTGTTTATTTCTCATACTAAAAGTGGATAACTTTTCTACGAGTAAAGCATCATGATTTTGTTCTTAATATTGTTATAATGGTAAAAAAAGTTGAAAATTCTTCATATTGAAGTTGTTCATTCTCATATTGAAGTGATTGATTTTCTTACAAGAGTTGTTTCTAGGCATAGTTTTACTTGGTTTTATTTTTAGTAATGTTATCATGGTAAAAAGAGTTACAAATTTTTTCATACTAAAGTTGTTTATCTCTCATATTGAAATGGTTAATTTTTCTATAGGAATTATTTTTGCTCATAGGTTCACTTAATTTTATTTGTAGTACTATTATCGTGGTAAAAAAAGTTGCAAATTTTCTACATTGAAATTATTTATTTCCTATATTGAAATGGTTGATTTTTCTATGGGAGTAGTTTGTGTACATATTTTCACTTGATTTTATTCTTCGTATTGTTATCAAAGTAAAAACAGTTGTGAATTTTTCATATTAAAATTGTTCATTTTCTATACTAAAATGATTAATTTTCCTGTAAGAGTTATTTGTGCATGTAATTCCACTTGATTTTATTCTTAATAGTGTTATCATGGTAAAAAAAATTGCAAATTACCATACTGAAGTTTTTCGTTTCCCATACTGAAATGATTAATTTTTCTATAAGAGTTATTTATGCGCATAGCTTCACGTAATTTTATGTTTAGTGTTGTTATCATGTAAAAAGAGTTGTGAATTTCACATGCTATAATTGTTTATTTTCCCTACAGCGATTGTTCATTTCTCTACATAATTTGTTTATCCTGTTAATGATAGTTGCAGATTATCCTACAAGAGTTGTTTACTTCCCGTACTCAAGTGGTTAATTAAAATACATAATTCTAATGTGAAAAATTTACAACTCTTTTTATCATAATAATAACACTTTGAAATGAATAAATTAAGAGACTGAAAAAAAGGTTCTAAAAAGATCAATTAATTCAAATTAAGTTTCCAAGTGTCAAATTCTAAAAATTTATAACTCAATCTTTCAATTTTGCAGCTGCATTGTGATGAATATCTAACTTATTTTTTAAATTTTAACATGGTTAAAGAATAAAAAATTTATTTTTCCTATTAAAATTTGATATATAAGTTGTAAATTCATCACAACGGAGTTACAAAATTGAAAGATTAAGTTGCAAATTCTTGAAATTTGACACTTGAAAGCCAACTTAAATTAATTGATCCTTTTGGAACCTTTTTGTCATTCTCCCAAACAAATTATCACTGTAAAGTGGGATTTTAAAGGATTAATGCACATTTTTTCCCTTCAAATGAAACCCAGTAATCCACCGTTGCTTGAGAATGTATATAACCAAAGTTCTACTGAGGAAACGTTCAACTAGGGAAAAAAAACTATGGCAAAGAAGATGGAAGAGATGGAGCTAGCCCAAATCATATTGACCAAAGCTAAATTATAAAATTATGTTAGAATTCAAAGAATTGAAATTGTGGTTCATGCATAAGAGATCGAGAGGAGCAATATTAGGTTTTGTAGAGCAATAATTGCATCAATGATGATTTTATGAGAGAAAGAAGAGAAAAAGGAAGATGTTTTTTTAATTTAAAAGATGATTAATTTTATCATTTTTCTTACCATTTTAATTTCATTTCACTATTTATGTGTAATGAAATTTTAAAGTTTAATAATTTTTTTAAATATATTTAGGCTAAAGTTTGTTTTTTGCTTTTTTTTTTTTTTTTTACCCTTCTTCCATTTTTCACTCGAGTACATGGAGTCAAACAGTCAAAATTCCCATTTCGCGAGAGGCCATAACAGCTCCAGTGCTTCCTTTGGATCCGAAATTTGCATCAGAGACTTCCATCAAGCCGTCATTTCTTCTAGTTTTCCAGTGTCGATCGCCGCCGCCGGAGGGTGATAATGGCCACCTTCGCCACCACTCCTCCACCGTTAGGTCCGACGTCTCAAGCCCTAAAATTGGAGGCTCTTGCTCGCATAGACATCACCACCCTCTCACAGTCCGAGCTCCAAGTGCTCTCTCTCTGCTCACCCTCGGCCTTCGACCTCCGCTCTACCACGGACCTCGTTTTCCCCAAAGTCGACCGTTCACTCTTCAATGAGAGTGCTGGCACACGCCGCCAGACCTACTCTCGGCCCCGCAAACCCCTTTCCCCTTCTGACTCCCCCACCGGCCACCGCCGCCGCGTCGCCGGTCTTCTTCCCACTCCAAAGCTCCCACCTCTCCCCGATGACGACCCGGAAAACTTAGAAAACCGCAAAATTATAGATTACTTGAAGCAATTGATCAGGGAAGACCCTAAATTCGATCAAGTGGAGCTTGCCCCACCTGCTGCCGCCCCCGAATTTGTACCCAATTGTGAATTAAGGGTCGGGATGGTTGAGAGCGAGGATGTGGGGCTGATGAAATTAGGTGGGGAACGTAAAAGGAAGAGGGGGAGGAAGCCGAAAGTGAAGGTGCATTTGAAGGAGTGCTATAGAGAGATGGAGATAGTGAACAAGGGTGGCGTCGCGATTGATCTTTCTGCTTTGGCGAGTACACAGGATCCCTTTTCTGAGGAGTTGAGGAGAAGGACTGAGGGGTTGCAGAGTGAAGAAGAGCTATTGGGTTTTTTGAGGGATTTGGGGGGACAATGGGGAAGTAGGAGGAAGAAGAGGAAGATTGTGGATGCCGGAGATTTTGGGGATGTACTGCCTCTTGGTTGGAAGCTTCTATTGGGTTTGAAGAGAAAAGATGGTCGCGCGTGGATTTATTGCCGCAGATACATCAGGTGGTCTTCTTTGCCTCTTCATCTCTACTGGATCTGCTTATGTTATTCAAACACTTTAGTTTTCGTTCTCCCTTTTGATGTTCTATTGTGTCTACCTTCCATGGAGTGAAACGGATCTTGGTTGTTCATTTGAAGATATTAAAATTGGGTAAGTTACTATATATTAATAATAAAATGAATGAAAGATGAAGAATGCATCCTAAGAATATAAACCTGTGAGCAAACTCTCGATGAAATCAGGTTGTTGATTGTGATTCCATTTTCTAGATATTGCATCTAATGTGCATGCCATTTCCTTTTTAAATTCAAATTATTTATGCGATCAGTGTTATGGAAATATGGAATATGGTTGAAGTTTGCAATTTGGAACTTTGAAGGTTAGGAGGAAATACATTAGGTTCATGGTCTCAAGTCTCAATGTACGATACAGTAGTCTAAACTGTCTATTTTTTAGTAATGAAACTGTCTTGTTTGATATACTCTAGTCAAGAACAGGGGAGTTACTGCTCACTTGCGATCTGCATTTCTTGCTGCCCTTTGGGGTTTTCAGCAAGATTAATTAATCAAGTAGACGATGGAATAGAGATAAAGAAATAAAATCTAGTCTCTGAATTATTAATTCAGTGAAGTATTCACCCTACCGGACATGTAGGCAGCCAACTTCTTAGGTATAAAATTAAAGTCATGTACTTTTTTGGTGATGGTTTATGATAGAGTTCTGCTCTATAAGAAATTTCTAAACAGAAAAATAAATGCAAGAACTGACAAGATAAGGGAAATTCTGATGTTTTGATATTAATGTAGAACAACTGAATCAGTGTTACAAAAGGAAAGTCACTGATTCTGGCCGAAACCCTATTCCCTAATACTGAGACAAGATCACAATACTGATAATGAAACAACAACAGAACAGGTTCCTTGCTGGTGTTTGAGAGGTTAGTACTCTCCTCTCTTCTATCTGACCCTCAAAGCATTTCTTGAGTGCTAACCAAAACATCAGAATAATAAAGTAAGCAAAAGGTGACCCTAGCATCTAAACTGAATCTAAGCCACCCTACAAAACATTATGACTTAATCCTCAATTTTTGGATCCTTAGGATATTAATCCTGACCCGCTGGGAATTTCTTTTCTACACTCAGTTGCCCCCTTGATTTTCTCTTATAGGTCTGCACATTTCCAACGGCTACATCAATTTATTTCTTGAAACCCATGAATGTTTTCTTTTGCCTTTTTTTCCTTGTGAGGTCTTAAATACTCATCTGATATTTTACAGTCCTAGTGGAGAACAATTTGTGTCTTGCAAAGAAGTTTCTTCATATCTTCAAACCCTTTTTGGTCACAATGATGCCCAGTTACCAATCAATCGTAGGGGTGAAAATATGCTGATGGACAACAGGGTGGCTACTCAGAGTGTAAGTATATATCTAGAAGCAGATTTATCTGTTATACATGTATGTATATTATATGAATGGGAAGTTTATGGGATGGGCTGCAGGGTGCAGGTAATACCCACGAGGATCAGGATAAAAGGATGGTCATTGCAAATGACTCAATTCCACCCATTTCTTCTGAATGTAATGAACGTTTGAAGGAAGTAGCCTTATTGGGAATCGATAATCTTGAAGAAGTGCAAATACATGATCTGTTTGAATGTCACAAATGTAACATGACCTTTGATGAGAAGGATTCATACTTGCAGCACCTTTTGTCTTTCCACCAAAGGACAACGAGGCGCTATCGACTTGGTTCTTCTGTTGGAGATGGAGTTATAATCAAAGATGGAAAATTTGAGTGCCAGTTCTGCCATAAGGTGTTTCTTGAAAGGCGTCGCTACAATGGACATGTGGGGATCCATGTTAGGAACTATGTGAGGAAAGTTGAAGAATCACCAGGTCAGGTAAATGTTCAAAGGAGAGATAAGTCTCCAGTCAAGGAGGATTTGCCCTCAAGGATCTCTAAGATGGATGCTTTAATTGAAATTGCTCAGAACTCTATTATGGAGAATTCTGCTATTGAACCGCATGGTAATCATGCTTCCTCTCCTGATAAACTGAATGTAATTTCTACTACAGAAATTACTGTTGGTAACCTTGACCATGAAAAATTTTTTGAGTCTCCTGTCAGTGAACAGCAAATGGAAGACAGCTTCACTGGCAAAAATGTGGATCACAATTTATATCACCAAGATGGTAAACTTGCAGCCATGGATGAAGAAGTGGAGAACAATGATGGTGGTAACGAATTTATAGATTCTAAGACAGATACCTGTGTAGATCTCATGGGTTTATCGACTGTAAATGAGCAAAATGTTGATGAATTTGAGAGTTCAAAGATAAAAGATGATGTGGTATTGACTTTTGATGGTTTAGGTCAGTCTAGTGTTGATTTGGAAGGAGTTTCACAAAGCCCTTTACTTCCTTTTTCTGGCAGTTGTGTAATTCCTGAAGTTGAAAATAATAGAAATTCCAGTGGCACTAATACTGTGGAGCAACTTAACCATGAAGACAGCAGAAGTAAGAGCGAGCTCAAAATTGGATTAGATGACACAATAGATGCATCTATTATGTCTAAAATCCAAGAGACGGCATTGCCAACTTCTGATGAGAATACAGTTTCATCTGAGGTTCCAAACCCATCTATGTCCATGGTACAATCTTTGGATTGCTTTTCCCATCTCACTGGACTCTCAGATAAGGTATAAGTTATATCTTGAGTTCTCAACCTTCAGTCACTGGGTATCTTACATGTAGAAAAACCTTGAGAATATTGCCACAATTATTGTAGGAGGATCATCCCTAGAGGTGATTGTTATCTGGGCAAATGCCATTGATTGATATTTGAGCCAATATGCATACGGAGTCTGCGTCTAAATTTGCTCAGAGATATCCTGTATTGAACTGTTGATGTAAATGTGCATTATCAAAACTTTTGGTTGTGATGCATTCCTCAATTTTCCATGACAAGCACAATTTTTGGAATCAGTTTTGTTGTCTGAGCATTTATTTTGCCCATACATTTTCCTCTTATATCCATATATCTGTTCTACTTCAACCTGCTATATAACCCTGGCAGTTATTGTCATCTGGTTAATCATCAATATATGGATATATTAGCTTGCTTTGATTGTTATTGCTCGAGCATTAAGTACCTTGCTTTTCTATTGAGTGGCGACTTTCCATGCAGCAACTGTTACATACTTATTGGTAGGTAGAAAAGTGTTTTCTAGAAAGGAAATGAGAATTATACTTGTCCCGTTTTCCTTTTAGATACATTTTCTTTTCCCTTTTATAAAACACTTTCCCGTACACCAAACACGCTCTTATTGTTTCTCATATATCTCACAAACAGGAAGACGACTTTTTAGGTGGTTGCCGGGGGCTGGGGTGTGGGGAAGTAAGGATGCTTCCATAACACTGTGCCCTGCCACCAGCTTCAAACAGTTTTCTACCTTCTAACAGATAAGTTATGATCACATGCTTATGTACTAAAAACTAGTGGATGCCTTATATATCCTATCATGCCCCATTTCTGGCATGCTAAGAGAATTAACATTAGGATATCTTGTATCATTAGTACCGAGTTCTAATCCAATGCAACAATTATTTACTTTCTGTACCCAACCATGATACGCCAATTCTGCCTTGGTAGTGCTGATCCTACCTTGTAAAATTATATTGTTGTTATGGCTCATTGACAGGAGGAAAACCAATCTTGCAGCGTTGACCACAAACATGATTATGTGGATGGGTCTTAGGAATTGAGGTTGGATGATGAAATAGAAACTTCAAAGTGTGAATTTGCAAATGTTCAACCTTCTCTTTCTCTGCCTCAGGTGCCAACAGGTTTGGCAAACAATACAAAGATGGAAGAAGGGGCACATGCTTCCTCCGTTCAGCTTGAATCTTTAGAAGCAGGCAGACATCAGATTACAACTGTGTGTGTATGGTGTGGTGTAGAGTTTAATTATGATGCTGTTGATTCTGAAATACAACCGGATTCCGTAGGATTCATGTGCCCAGCTTGCAAGTCCAAAATATCTGGTGTTGGACAGTGATATACAATACAATTGGCAAGTAATTAATGCGACTCTTTCTCTTTATACAACTGATATTAATATATAAGATCAAGCTGGAATTTCTTTTCTGATCAGAGTGAAGAGCACGGCAGCCTAAAGCCATTCGAACCATTGCTTCAGGCCGGAAAAAAATTTTGATGGTGTCATTTTTATATTTATTAGTTTTCTTTGTAAATAAATTTGGAGTTTGAATTTGGTGAAAAGTACATAATTCATAGGAAACGGTCTTTTGATAAAAAGTGTTAATGATGAGGTTATATGTACATTCAAATCCCCTAAATCTAGATTCTTTTTGTATTAAATCAAGGGAGAATAACCGAAAGGTTTAAAAGGATCAATTAATTTAATTTAAGTCTTAAGTGTTAAACTCTAAAGATTAACAAGTTTAACTCTTAATTTTATAACTTTGTTGTGATAAATATATAATCTATTTTTTAAAGTTTAATATGATTGAAAAATAAATAAATTTATTTTTTTATTGAAATTTGAAATATAAATTATAAATATATCATAATAAAGTTGTAAAATAAAAATTGAATTTTGAATTTTTGGATTTAATACTCGGGATTTAAGTTAAATTAATTGATATTCTTGAAACCTATCTATCATTTTTCCTTACATCAATCTATTTCTATTATTGATATATAATTTAAACAATTTTTAAAATACGAAACTATTTTTGATTTCAAATATTTAAAGCTTTAGATGATAATGAGTTAAAAATAAATTATAATTTTGAAATTTTTTTATATTTTAGTTAATATTTTTATATTTTGATAATATGAATGATTTTGTTTTATTTTTAGAATAGAAAGTATTGAGAGTTGTTACTAAAAGAAATTAAGATAGCAATATAAGTTTTAAAATATATCAAAAGATTCAGGTATGTGTGCGATTCAGGCATGTGTGTATCAAAAGATTATATGTTTTTTCCAAATGCATGCATTACTAACTTTTCAAGAAAAAATCTTAAGTTATTTTCAATATGTTTCATATAACAAAAAAATTAAAATTTATTAATTATATTTAAAATTTTAATTAGTTTTTAATTTTATTCATATTAAATATATATAATTTAATATCATATACTTTTTTTCACGAACATTTAATGGAAAGTAAAAAAAAATTATGATAAAAATTACTAATATGACTTATAAACATGACAAAAAAAATTATTTTTTTATTTGCTTTATAAATAGTGCCATAGAAAGGATATGAGATCAATTATATTATTAAATATACTTAATGAAATAAACGTATTATCTATTAAAAAGGAAATGCCCATGATAAAGTAAAATGAAGGTTAGTAAAATTATTACCCTCTAGGAGCTCCATCAATTCCCAAGTACTATTTTTCAATAGATTTGATCTCCTCATCCATGGCAATTTGCCATTTTGTAATGATATTGCCAATTTTTTCAACTTGCTGGCTTTACTTGTCTTCATTATGAGTTCCTTTCTAGAGCAACAATCTTTGCTTGGCTGATTTTTTTTATTTTCAATTGAGCTTTTTTTACGTGTGGTTGTAAAGCCTATCTTATAATGGGACAATATGATTTTTTTATGTTAAATTTACTATCCATTATGTTGATATTTTTGTTTTCACCTATAAAATTTAGATTTTGTGAGTCCTGTGCTTGTAATCATTTTTCTTTGTGGTTTATTGAAACTTGACCTTTCTTCAAATGAAAAAAAAAAAACAAAATTCCATTTTGTATCTTTAACATTGGTTTCAAATTTGAAGGGATCACAATATGCAAACAAAGTAAGGTCAGCTTCTAAATCATTATCAGATAAATCATCTCCACTTTTACATAATCCACCATCCAAGGTGGTCTTTTTTGAGTTTGACTAGTGTGAGACTCTTCTATTGTGTTAGTGATTGGTGCTTTTTCTATTTCTTCTGCACCATTTTCAAGAGTTGCAACAACAATGTTCTGTGGGCATGACAACTGCTCTCCATTTCCAAAGCTTTATGAACACAGCTTGCTTCAGTGGCTTAGTCATAATATCAGCTGATTGATTTTCACCTTTGCAAAATACCCATTTAATAATACTATCACCATTCATTCATATTTATAAAGAAGCGAATGGATGTGTCAATCTACTTACCTATCAAACATTTTGCTATAATTTCAATAGTAGGATTTTAAACAGTTCACCTTTTGATGGTATTAGCCTTATATGACTTGATTTTAGGCTCCTTGCATAATTTTTTTTGGTGATTTCGTATTAAAAAAAAGAGAATTACAAACAAGTTTTACATAAGAAAATTAATTTTTGTAAGATCTATTAATAAACTAAATTGTATTGATAAATAATTATTAATAAACTTTATAATAATTAATTTTTTTTGCACGGGACTTTAATGTAATTAAAAAAAAAATGCAATCACCCTCACAAATGATCTCACTTTTTTTTTTTTTTTTTTAACCAACGAACTATCACTTGACAGCGTTGGTTGGTGTTTTCTTTTGCTCCTTTTTGTCGTTTCCTATTAAGTTTGTTTTCTATGTATTGCTCCATGCATCGTCATTTTTTCTGGTAACCGATTTTCAGTTCCTACTTTATTTTAAATTTTAAAAAGGGCCAAATATGTCATTTCAAAAATAAAATGTTAAACAAATCCTAAAAATAATTAGCATATTTTGTGATACTTCTTCTTTTTAAAAATATAAGATATTTTTTAAAGAGTTTGATGTTTAAAATGTAAGGCATTTTTAATCTTTTGAGGTGTAATCATTGCCTTTTTCTAAAAGTGTCCCTATTGATAGTGATTTTATATTTATTATAGGGTGTTTAATATAAGTAAATATAAAAAGATAAGGTTAGTTTGAAAGTAATAATCACTTTATTGAAAGGTGAAATTTAATTAAAAATACCTAATATTTTTGAATGGAGGGAGTATTTAATTATCATTTATATATTTTAAAAATATTTTTATATCATTTTCCTAATATTTTTTACAAATAATCAGATTATTATTATTAATGTGAAATTAACAACTTTTACTTCCTTCATATTTTATTATTTTATCTTGGAAAAAAAAAATCCATATCTTGCACTCTTTTTTCTTCTCTTCATATCCTCAGCCCATTAAGCCAGGTATTGTGTTAAGAAAAGAACCCACTCTCGTCCAAGGTGGGACCCAGCCATGTGGCAACCACTCCTGCGCCAATTTAAGTGTTCTCCGCCCTTACACGAAAATGCTTTATACATCTTTTCATCAATAAATACTGAATTAGATATTCATCATAGTCTGTGGCAGTGAGCCAATGATGGTTTTCTAATCCATAAAAAATATTCGAGAAGATCACATCGCTAAGCCGTTCTTTATGGAGAGTTTCATGTTAAACACGCTCATCAATAATTAAATTGACAGAGTGCTTTTTATTCTCTAACATAGGATAATATTAAATTTTTAATTATATATATTTTTCTGTATATTAGGATTGTTAAAACTAATTTGATTATAATTACTTTATTTTATGATATTATTTTATTTTTTAATAAATTTTTATTTTATTATATGATAGATCTTGATAGATTTTTTTTTCTTTTGTATAAATATATCTTATATTAAAATTAACAAGACAAGTTATTATTTTTACAAATTATATTATGATACCACTGTTTTTTCTTTCTGCTTTATTTGGTGCTTTTGGAACCTCATGACACACTACCCAAGATGCTTGTGTACCTGCTAATGGAACTGCCCAGTCCTCATCTTCTTCTGCCTCTCTATTGTTTACTCACGATCAATACAATTTCTTGCTCTTGTGCAAACCTTTGCACCCACTAGTTCATCAACCCCTCCAGCACAATTTAAACTTGTGACTATCTCTCTTTCCATTCCTTCTCTTAATGTGTTTTCAACATTAGTATATTTCACTTACTTTTCTCTAAATGCATTTCGTCTTCTTGGATCATTAATAATCGCATGATCAATCATATATGTTCTTCTATTGATTGTTTCTCTGAGTTAGTTTCTATTTCTCCTATTTTTGTTCAATTACCTAATGATTTTATTGTTCAAGCTCATCATTCTAGACTCATTTATCTTTTCTCCTATTTTTATCTTACTAATGTTTTTGTATTCTTCATATTGACTATAATTTCATTTCTATTTCTACACTCAATTTTTACCTTCATTGTTTCTTAATCTGCAATACCATTCATTGTTTCATTCAATACTTGGACTCTTGGAAAATGGTTGGTACAGTTGTGGTTCCAAATGGTCTCTATCATGCAACAAGTAGGTTCTCACATTCTTCAGTTTCTCTTATTACTTTACATTCTAAATTTATACTTTCTTTTGATTTGTGACATCTTAGGTTAGGACGTGTCTCCTTTGTTGCTATTAATATTCTAAATCAAAAATCATCTTCAATCACTTGCAAAACTACCTTAAAGAAAAGTTGCAATTTTTGTCATTTTGCCAAACAAAGAAAATTATCATTTCCTATTAGTATTTCTCACACTACTTGTCCTCTTGAACTTTTACATGTTGATATTTGGGGTCTATTTAATACTACTTCTGTTCATGGTCATCATTATTTGTTGACAATTGTCAATGATTACTCTCACTTTACTTGGGTCATTTTGATGAAATTATAATATGAAGCTAGAACTCAATTGAAGAACCTCATTCTATTTGTGGAAAATTAATTTTCTTTTGTTATAAAAATTATTTGCTTAGACAATGGCCCTAAATTTATTATGCATTCTTTCTTTAATTTAAAAGGCATTCTTCATTAAACAACTTGTGTTCAAACACCTAAACAAAATAGTATTGTTGAATGTAAACACCAACATATTCTTAATGTTGCTCGAGCTTTATTATTTCAAAGTCATTTACCTTTAGCTTATTGGTCTTATGCTATTTTACATGCTATTTATATCGTTAATCGTCTTTCAACCTCTGTTTTGCAACAGCAAACACCTTACGAACTTCTTTATAACACGTTCGCTTATTTTTACAATTTTTATGCCTTCAGTTCTCTTTGTTTTGCTTCCACTTCTATTTCTCATTGCACTAAATTTGATCATCAAATTAGGAAATGCATTTTTTGTTGGTTTTCACCTTGGCACCAAAGGTTTTGTATGTCTTGATTTGCATTATTGCAATATTTTCATTAGTCGGCATGTCATTTTCTATGAGATTGAATTTTCTTTTTCTCCATCTTTCACTTCTTTTGTTGATTTTCCTTTGCCACAATCTACACCTTCCCTTGATTATTTTAATCCTTTTATCATTCAATCCTCTTTTACTTTTTCTATTTTTATTACTCTAAATTCTTCAGCTCCCATTTCTCCTACCTATTTAGATCATTCTTCTGCTAATGTCCCTTCTTCATTACCTTTACATAGCTCTTCTTAGTCCCATAACTCTCCTTCCTACTTGTATGATTATCATTGTTCACTCCTTGCATCAACACCATCTTCTTCCCTTAGTTTAGATGTCTATTATCCCTTATCTTTTATCCATTCTTATAAGCCTCTTTCTCCTTCCTATAAACATTGGTTGTACATGGGTGATTAAAATTAAGTTTAAGGCTAATGATTCTCTTGACAGGTATAAAGCTCATTTAGTCGCTAAAGGTTACACATAAACTGAGGAGATTGACTAATTTGATACTTTTTAACCAACAATAGTTCATTTAGTTTTGGCATTAGCGATTGCCAAGTCTTGGCTCTTGGAGTAGTTAGATATCAATAACAGTTTCCTTTATGGTGATTTGGATGAAGAGGTCTATTCCTGGTTTTAATTCTCCATCGTCCAATATTGTTTGCAAACTTCATAAGTCTCTTTATAATTTGAAGCATGCTAGACACCAATGGTTTGTTAAGCTTACAACCACTCTTACTTCATATAGTTATCTCTAGTCTAAAGCTAATTATTCTTTATTTGTCAAAAAGATTGATTCTTCATCTATAATGTTATCTTTTTATGTTGATGACATTATTTTGGCTAGTAATGAAATTGCTAATATTAATAGTCTTCTTGATTAGTCTTTTAGAATTAAAGATTTAGGTGAGATTCGCTATTTTCTTAGTTTGAAAATAGCCCAAACATCCTCTAATATATATATTTGCCAATGGAAATTTGCTTTAGACAGGTTTTTATTGTGGTGCTTGCAAACTAGCTTCTACCCTATATGGACAGGTCTGTCAAGTTCTTTAAAGGTGATGGTACTCCTATTAATGATCCATTCTCTTATTAGCGTCTTATTGGTCATCTCCTCTATTTGACAACAACTCGTCCCAACATTGCTTCTTTTTGTCCAACAATTATCTTAGGTTATGTCTAATCTGCATTGTACACATCTGCAAGCTACTCATTGTGTTCTTCGTTATCTTAAGTCCCGTGGACTTTGATTTCAAATTGAAGACTTTCTCTGACTTTGATTGGGCTGGTTATATTGATTCTTATCGCTCGATTACTGGCTTTTATGTTTTTCTTAAGAAAGCTTTGGTTTCAAGGCACTCGAAGAAACAATCCACTGTTTCTCATTCCTCTTTTGAGGATGAATACCGAGGTCTTGATTTTGTGACTTATGAGTTACAATAGTTTCTAATTTTCTTAAAAGACCTCCATATCTTTTATCTTTCTCCTGCATTGGTCTTTATTGATAATCAGTCTACTGTTCATATTGTCTTTAATTCTACTTTTCACGAGCGCACTAAGCATATCAAGTTGGATTATCATCTTGTTTGTGATAAGCTTCAAGCTGGCATCTTTCATTTGCTTCCTATTCGCTCAAAGGATCAAATTATTGATATCTACACCAAGTCTCTTGGAACTGGTCTCTTTAATGATCTCTTATCCAAACTGGGCATGTGTGACATGTTTTCTTCAGCTTGTGGGAGGATAACATATGGCAATATTAAATTTTTAATTATATATATTATTCTTCATAATTAGGGTGGTTATAACTAATTTGGTTATGATTGCTTTATTTTAGGTTATTATTTTATTTTTTGATGGATTTTTATTTTATTCTTTGATATATCTTGATAGTTTTTTTTTTCTTTATATAAATATATCTCATATTAGAATTAATAAGACAAGTCATTGTGTCACAAATTATATTTTAATATTAATTAATTTTTAATACAAATAATATTATCTGTAATAACGAGAAAAATAGCTGCATTATATCACTTTATACTCTCTGGCGCTTATTTTAAAGAGCCAATAAGCAGAAAAGAACGCTAGCGGGAGTGGTAGAGAAAAGTTGAATCTCCTTTTCGTTAAGAAAATAAATATGTATTGAAGCTTTTATTAGAGAATCTAATTCCTATAATTTCATATTGTGAAAGAATAAAGAACAGTATCAGATGTTAGGCATATTTTTTTTGCTGATGATGCATGCTCCAGCTGTAGTCTCTAGATCCCTCTCAACTAGCGTTCCCCAGCCATCAGCCTTTAATTTTTTTATTGAGAATTTAGTATGAGAAAATACGGGAGAAGGTATTTGTTTTCAATTCTTATAATTTTATTTCTTATTTTCGACCCATTTAGTTTGATCTGCAGCATTAGTTATATGGTTTTAAAAATGTATGTAAAGATCATGCATAGGTTGGTACCGAGGGAGTTAGTTTTGTTATAACTATGCTAACCTCTTTACTAACATAGTAAAAATATGCTGCCCATGTATGATTAAAAATAAAAAATACTAATAAAGGTTGGTTTTAATGAAATATTTATAATATGGTGAATTAAGATTTAAATTTTTATTAAAAGAGATGCCTATATTTAATATTTAATAATATTTTAAATAAGATTATTTTTAATAATAAAATAACTATGAGTAATTAAAAAAGAAAAAGAAGGTAAGAGAGGAAAAAGTTTCTTTTTATATTTGGCTTAAATAGGGCGTGGGAGACAAGTGCGAGATTACGTATACGTCAGCAAAATTAACTCTATCGATGTCAATTTGTGGTCCTTGAGTGCAATTTTAAAACTGCATGAACTGATGTTGCAGGAAAATCAAATTAACATAAGAAACTGAAAACAACAAAATAAAATTACAGGGACTAATAACATAACATAATCAAAATTACAGGATCTATTTTTGTTGTATTTTCTCAATTATTCTTAAACTTAGTGAAATTTGAGTTGACCCGCTTGCATCAACTAGAATTTGATTCTGCACCTTCACATCAGTTTAAAAAAAAAAAAGTAAGTTTAGAATAAAAAAAACATGTGGACGTTGTTATAGAACATCTTTTTCATTCTTCGAATTCGATCTTTCAATGGAGGTCATCAAATAGTTTCACAGAACAACACCTATTTTTTATTGGCCGTTAAATTTGAGAGATTTTCTACCAAAAGAAGATCAAGCTAATACTAATACTAATAGTAATAATAATAATAATAATTAAGCATATCAGTGTATCAAAAATATTCTTAAACAGGCTATCTACGTTGAACAATTGATCATATATAGGAGCACATTTTTATACATCTTGTAGAAGGAACCACACAAATATACGTAAATGATTAATATAATCATATCAAAAAGAAAATCCATGCACTAAGGCACAGAACATATCTATCTGGCAGCCATACGTTTGAATTTTTTTCTCCCCACTTGTTCATTTCGCCATGTGCATGTTTTAGTCTCCTATATATAGTACATCTTCTTGCAGCCTCCATGTCAAGCCATCAAGAGATCTAACTGAGCCACACACACTTGAAGCTAGCTATGTTTAAATACAAGAAATGCAGAAAGCCAAATAATGAGGAGGCACGAATCAGGTGCTGGAAGTGTAGTGGAGAGTTTCATGTGCCCTCAACCACAATCACTTACCGTTGCCCTCTGTGCAAAACCATCAATAATGCTAGTCAAGGAAATGGCCACTCAAATAAGAACTTCGTCATCAAATCTGATGATATGTTACAGAATGCAAGCAAAAGTGCATGTGTTCTGAATCAAAGGCCTTCCTCATTTTCTTCAGTACGTTCTGAGTCAAAGCGCGCGCTTCTATGTGGAGTTATTTACAGGAAAAAGAGGTACAGACTCAAAGGATCCATTAATGATGTTGCCAACATGAGGGAGCTTCTAGTGAAGGTTTTTGACTTTCCTGCTGAATGCATACATGAGCTTATAGGTATAAGTTATATCTTCTAGAACCTTTTGTCTTATGATATTCTCAATTTTTTTTTTCTGTGGTTGATTTTACTTTTTGAGTTTCTTTTCATCTTAGGTTGTTTATGTAACTTGTCTTCTTGCATCATATGTTAGATTCTTGGAACCATCTTTAATTGCCACTAATATGTTTGAGGATAAATTAGTTTACTGGCCAAAAAAATCTTGTGCCTAAACAATTTGGACTAAATTTTTTAAAACTTGAAAGTGTGCATGGCCTATTTACATTGATATATAAAAGATTTATCATTAACATAGAAAGAATTTATCATTAAAAATTTATGAAATTTATCATTGATAGATAGTAGTATATCATTGACAAATATAATAAATAAGTCATAATGCAAAATATAATAAAGGAAAAATATAACTTTCAATCCTTGTACTTTGCTCATATTTTGCTTTTAGTCCTTGCACTTTTTTTAGTATTTTAGAATCCCTACGCTTTCATTTTTCATTATTTTATATCCCTACACTTTATTTATAGAAGGACCTAAAATAATAAAAAATAAAAGTGTAGTGACCTAAAATAACACACAAAAAAGTGCATGGACCAATAATAAACCATGAACAAAGTGCAGGGACCCTATAATAAATATTGGATTGTTTACTTTGTTTTGTTCTATAATATGGGCTATATCTGTAAAAATTTCTATGTTTGAAGGGAAAACTAAAGGAAAAACTTTATGCAAGGGAGAGAAAATGTCTTTTCTTTCTTAGGCTCTCCATTTTCCTCCCACTCCTTACAAGCTCCAAAAAAAAAAAAATCCATTCCAAAAGTCTAACTTGTCACATGTGAGAGCCCCTCATACATATAAATCTTATTCTATTTGTAAGACTCTTCAACATGAGACTCATAATAGCATCCTTAAGATCATGTAGAGGAAGGAATTACATACTCATGATGGAGATCCTAATAAAGTCATAGCTACATTGAAATGTACAGATTAATAATCTAACTCAAATGAAACAACAACAATCAATGCAGAAGAGAAGAGTTCAGATTTAGTTCCAACAAAGAAAAACATTCTAGAACAAATGAAGTGGCTTGTTGAAGGCAGCCAGGCAGGAGACTCTCTGGTGTTTTACTTCTCAGGACATGGCATTCAACACACAGATTCCAAGCAAGATGAGATTGATGGGATGGATGAAAGCATTTGTCCTGTCGATTTCATGCAAGAAGGAGCAATTCTTGACAATGACATAAACTCAATCCTTGTTTGGCCTCTCAAACAAGGTGTCACCCTTCATGTCATTGTTGATGCTTGTCACAGTGGAACAGCTCTTGATCTATCCTATGTCTATGATCCTGAAAAGTGAGTACACTCTTGAGACTAATTAGAGGAAATCTGTGCTTCTTTTCTGGAAAATCAAATAATTAATTAGTCTTTTGTCTGAGGTTTTGCAGATGCACATGGAAAGATAACAAGCCTCCTGCAAAAGAACCTTCTAGAAAGCATCCGAGTGGTGGAAAGGCAATTTGTATTAGTGCCTGTGAAGATCATCAGATGGCTGCTGATACCTCTGTAAGAATGTTAAATATTATAACATAGAGAAAATACAACAATAGATCCTTGTACTGTGAATGTGTTTTGTTTGTAGCCCCTTTAGTTTAGTCCACTTGCAATGTTAGTCCCTATAATTTAAAAAATGCACATAAAGACTCTGATTTCATACTAATGAAGTTAATTTTGTTATAACTCTATTAACCCCTTTGTTGATATGGCAAAAATATGTTAACCTGTAAATAACTGGGTATGATAAAAATAAAAGGTAAGGGAAAAAAAAAAAGCTTTCTTTTTGCACTAGGCATAATAAAACAAAATATTGGAGACAAATGAGAGATTAAGTGTATGTCAGCAAAGTGGTTAAAAGAGTTAGTACACATTAGCAAAATTATTTTTGTTAGTGCTAGCTCATGATCCTTGTGTGCCTTTTTAAAATTATAGTGGTTATTGTTGCAGGCGGATCAAACTAAAAGGACTTATAGGAATTAAAGGAATTAACAATCAAATTACAAGGGTCTACTGTTATATTTTTCCTATAACATATAAAATTACTTGTTCATATCTAGCGTTTTGATGCTGAGAACAAATCTATGCAGGCTTTTCGTGGGAAGGGAATGAATGGTGTTATGACCTATCTTTTCACAAAAATCATGAGAAAATATCCTGATATAACATATGGGGGTATACTGGAACAGATGGGGAAGGAAATTGAAGACACTGTCCGAAACAATAGCTGTCGTCCATCTTTTTTGCAACATATGTTTCCTCTCAAAGTTGCACAGGTTGGCATATTCTTCTTTTTTTTTTTTCTTTTTTTGGCCATGATTACTCTTTTATTTGACATCAATACAAAACTGTTCATATGGAGAGTTATGGATATTTCACTAGCAGATGTGTAGCACTGTTATACTTTATATGCATGTCGATTTTTGACCCTGCTTGGCAAATGACAACTAAGCTTTTTATCTATGTGGATATGAACCATCCAAAGTGAGATCTTGCCAAAATTTCTGTGTCACGCAAACTTGAGATTCTCTAGAACCACTTTGCTTGGATTCATGTATGAATTAATGTCAGAAGAAATCCCAAAATAGATAGAATTGAATAGAAGAGATATATAAGGGTAAAGACATGTAAATCCAGTACTTTAAGATGTTAACTATGACTTGGATCATGACTTTATTTGATCTTCCTAACTATGGTTGTTTTATAAGAAGTTCATTCAGAACGTACATCCTAATCAGAATTAGTCATTAGTTACTGGTTTAATTTTCCTAACGAAACTTGTCTTTCGTGGAGCATCTCAGGATCTTGTTATATCTTCATCCGAAAAGTTTGATGTTTCTCGGACTGTATTCAAATTATGAGCATAAAATGATGGAAGGGAAAATCTCATCATCTTACTGCTACTTGGCCAAGGACAAATAAAGAGAGATTTCTTGTATTGAATAATAGATATTTTTTATTATTTTTTTTATATGGTCATCTGATTGTGTTAGATTCGAACATTACTGGATTCAATAAAGGACAAGTTTCCAAAAGGGTTTTAAGATATTACTTCCCCCAGCCCTTGTAATAAGAATCTTTCTTTTGGTCTTCAATATAAGATCCTTTGCCTGAAAGCTTTAATGAATTTCATTGATGATAATTTTAAAAGTTTAAAAGCATTAACTTATTTTAACTAAATATTTTAAACTACATAAAATTATAAATAGAGGTGTAAAAAAAGGTAGACTCGGCTCTTAAAGGTTTAGACCCTCGAACTTGTTTCTCAGAAAATGATTTATTTTTGAAGTCAGGCTTTTATTTGAAGAGCTCAGGGCCAAGTCCCTAAGTCCATTTTGTTTTTAAAAAAATTAAAAAAGTCAATAAAATAAATAAATAAATACAAATACAAATATAGCATCTTAATTAAGTTTTAAAATAAAGATAAAAATTTTCAATCGAGCCTAATCTTATTAAATTTGATAAATATAAAAATATGTGTATCATAGAGTATAACATTAATCAAAATTAAAAAATAGACCTTACAAAATAATTATATTTAAGAAATTAATAAAAAAATGTCAATATTGTATTAAAACAAATGGAAAAAAACCAATATCAATTATTTTGACAACATAATAGTTGAAAAATTGTTGATCTTTTAAGTAATAATGCTTAGAGGGCCACCTAAGACTGAACTATTTTTTCAGGGCCTATCAACGCCAACCCTGGAAGCTTAAATTTTAAAAAAAAACTATCAATTTTTTAAGTCCAAACCATTATCTAAACAGGGTCTTTAAACTTACCCTTCCAAGCTCGACCTTTATTTTCGACTTTAATTATAAATATCCTCATAATAAGGATGGCTCATGTTAGGAAATATAGATTTAGAAAAGGAAACATTGGTGAAAATGACCTTGTTAGAAAAGAAATTAGTCCCAAGGACCATATGCAATTGAAGGACCAAACCCAATATTTTATGCATCAAACAATTTCAACAAATGAGAAAAATACCCCTCTCTTTAAACCAATGAAATTGACAAAAAAAAAAAACAAAGGCTATTTGTTCAACATATATACCCCAAGCCAGAAGCCTTACACCCCCAACCAAAACATTACACCTTGAGCCAATAACCTTGCACCCGAAGCCATAAGCCTTCCACCTAAGATAGAAGCCCTGCACCCTAGCCAAAAGCCTTGCACTCTTAGCCAGAAACCTTTAATCTAAACCAGAAGCCTTACACTCACTAATAGTATTGCACTAGAGCTAAAAGCCTCGCACCCTAGCCACCCATTGGCGATCTAAAAGTTAAATAAGTCTCAATAAATTTGATAAAGATTAGAATTTTCTAATATGATAAAAATTAACAAATTTTATACTATAATAAAATTTTGAAAGTATTTATTATATTTCTTTAGTTGCATACAAAAAATTATTTTTTTGGAAAATATAGATTTTTAAATAATTCTTACAATAAAGAGGGACATTTTGGTCAAATTAAAAATTTAAGAATCAAATTTAATAGTCAACTAGCAATTAGATGGATGGAAATAGAATCTCAAATATATAATAGAGGTTTACATATCATATATTTTAACTTTAAGAGATTGTATATGAGAATTTTAAAATAAAAAAGATGTTTGTATAATTAAGATATAATAAAAGGATTATCAATATATGTTACTTTATGATTTCTTTTCCTTTCACCACTAGAAGTGTATATATGATTATTGTCCTAAGAGGCTGTGATGTAGAAAAAATGAAATTCTCCATCGTTATTATTAACTCGTCCATTTTCTTGTTTTCCCTAAATTGATTGAAGTTAATGAAAATACCAATAAGAAGAATATTCATATTTTAAATAAAAATGAATAAAATGATCAAAGACTTGCACCCCTATATTGTTTGGGTGTAAGGCTTCTAACTAGGGTGTAAGGCTTCTGGCTTGGGTGCGGAGTACAAGACTTCTGGTTAGAGGTGCACAACTTCTGGCTTGGGGTGCAAGACTTCTGGCCGGTGGTATAAGGCTTTGGCTCTAGTGCAAGGCTTCTAGTTTGGATACAAGGCTACTGGCTAAGTGTAAGGCTATTAACTTGGATGCAAGGCTTTTGGCTTAAAGTGTTCTGGCTGAGGTGCAAGACTTCTAGCTTAGGATGCAATATTACTAATTGGGGTGCAAGTCTTCTAATTTAGGGTGCAAGGCTTCTGACTTGGGTGTAAGGCTTTCTGACTTGGGGTATATGTGTTGAACAAGTAGCCTTTGTTTTTTTTTTTTTTTCAATTTCTTTGGTTTAAAGAGAGGGGTATTTTGGTTATTTTTTCAAATTGTTTGATAAATAAAATATTAGGTTTGGTCCTTCAATTGCATTTGGTCCTTGAGAATAATTTCCTCTCTAACAAGATCCTTTTCACCAATTTTTCCTTTAAAAAATCCTATCATATTTTAAACAACTCCAACTTATTTTATTATTTTTTTAAACATTGGCGGGTAAATGATAATTGTAAGATCAAGAGATTGTGTTCTGCCAAAAAAATATCAACTCTTTATTTAGTATTTAATTCACCTCGCAGAGAAGAATATGCCCTGGTTACTTCCCTATTAACATTCCATTTTCATTCCTTTTTACTACCGTTTTTTTTTTAACTACTTCTATGCAATATATTCTTCATGCAATAATTCCTTCACACCATTTTTATTCCTTTTTCTTACATTTCTGTAATATTCTGCATACAATAATCATTCTCATATCCAATATTGACATGGAATTGGAATATATTCACCTCAAATGAAAGAGAGAGGGGGGAGGGAATAAACAGGGATTATTGATCTCATGACTTTCATTTAACTTATAATATTTATGCAAAATCAAGGTATTAACACAACGTCAGCGCACAGAATTTAGTGCAAGTCTTATATATAGAAATGTGTTTTTTAAAAAGAAAATAAAAAATTTAAAAAAAAATTGAGATAGTTGTGTTTCTCATTTCTTTTCTAAAAAATAATTCTTTTTACCAACTAAACATTGCACTAAGATAATTGAAGTTGTCTAAACCAAAATATAAGCACAATTAATCTTTTAGCTGATTTTAGATATGATTGCCTAGCTTGATTTAAATTTCTAAAACATCACATTGAATTCTGACTAATTTGAATTGAGTTGAATAAATTTACTAAGAGTGAAAAATTATGGATATATTCATATAGATTCGATGAGTGGTTTAAATCTACTCATTCAATGAGTGTCTTATATAAAACGATAATAACTATTTAATTTAATTGCTTTCTGAGTATCATATAATATGAAGAGATTTTGTCATATAATATTAAAAAAGTGTCAAATCTCAGAATTTTAAAGGGAACAACATGTGTGAGGATCGAATGTTTTTTATGGTAGCAATTGTTTTATATTTTTGAAAGAAAGTGTATCTGGATAATTTTTAAGTTTTGATGAAATACAATAACTATAATTGAGGCATACTCATGGAATTAGTAGACTTAAGTCAGTCATCATATCCAAATACAAAAGTATACTTCCTTTAGTAGATCAAAGGTGACATTTGGACTAAAAAGATTAAATTAAGAAAATTTTAAAAAGTTGCTATTATGAATATTAGCCCCAGCCTTTATCCTATAAAAAGCGCGTAATCCAACATATAATAGATGGAGATGATTTATAAGGGAGAGAAAAAGGAGACTCGCATGTATTCTGTGGGCCTCTCACTTAAACGATGGTTCATTGTGTTAGGGGGTTCTAAACTTACATTTTAGTGTTTTTATTTCATAAGTTCTCGAAACTCTTAAAAAAAAAATCGTGGGAGTGCAAGAATAACTCTTAAAATTGATTAATTAATAATTTTAGAGATAGTGAAATGATAAAAGTAATTCTAGAAAGCTATGATATTGAGGGCTTCCTTGAAATTACAAGGATTGGTAAAGAGTTCGCTAGGGCTTTATTTCTTGTCCCAATCTTTTTTATAAAAATAGTAGTTTTAGCATTAAAATAAAATATTTTATAAGAAAAACTTTGATATTTTTTTATTTTTTATTTTTTATAAAATATAAAATCTTCTTTCCTTTTTTTAAAAAGATAAACCTTCTTATTATTATTATTATTATTATTATTATTATTATTATTATTATTATTATTTTAAAAAAGATAAACTTCGAAAAACTCACGGATTAAGGTAGAAATAGGCTTAAATAAGGCAATGTTTTTAAAAATCGAATCAAACAATGAATAAAAAAAGTTAGTGAATTACAAGTCTTATGATTTAATTGGTTAGATCAGTAGTTGAACTAATAAAATAATAATTAAATAAAAATAATATTTATGTATATATATATATATATTAAAAAAAAGGGATTAAAACAGTACAATCATTTCAAGCCTTGAGTTTTTTTTGAGTTTTCAAAAACTGCCTGAATAAAGCGAACCAACTTAAGTCAATTATTAAAATGGGTCAAATAATTGTATCAAATTATTTTCTTCTTTAAGTGATGATTTGAATACTCCGACCATTCGGGTTGGTCTCGCTTTGAAACATTCAGATCAGGCTAGGTTTCAGATAATTTTTTTTTTTTTAACTTGACCTCCATTGTCCAACCCCTCTTCACCCACACCTGTTTGTTTGACTCGTTGCTCACCCAAGGATGCATTCGATGGAATCTGATCCGTCGGTGGAGGAAGGCGTCCTATGATGTGAATGAGCAATAGAACAGAGAAGAGTGAGGTGAGGTCAGTGCATGGAATGGGCGTAGGAGATTTCAGCACTTATCCAAACGACGTCGTTTTAAAGAAGGGGAGGAAAAAAGGACGATTAGACAGGTAGGGACAGCCTGCACCCTGTATCATTCATTCATGATGGGTACAGCTTGCACGAATGAGAATGTTCACCACAAAGCAAACAATAAATATTATTAAAGGTATAAAATATTAACAAAATAGTCATTTGTGAAGAAGAATATTCTCCAAATTCGAATATCATTATATATATATATATATAATTATATATATAAAGCCAATATTCTAAAACATGTGCTAAAACTAGAAGTCCGACGTCTCATACTTCTTTTTCCCTTGTTTCCATGATGGACGGCGCAGGCAGAATTGAGACACTGCAAAAAAATTTCTCTTCTTTAATTTTCTTCACCCTTCATTTTCATTCTCTCTTACCAAAACCAAACATTGACCCACACACACAAACGGATTTGAGTATGTTCAATTTGTCTCTGTTTTTGATTAAATTCATTTTCTTAAATTCAGAAAGTGTATATTTGATATTTTATAAAATATATTTCCTCATTATTTTTCTCTATTGTACTCCTAAATGGTTTAAATTTTCTTTAAAATTTCATGTTTATTTATTTATTTTTTTAAAACATAATATTTTCAAATAATTGAGTAATAGCCTTATATATATATATATGACTAATATAGTGCAAAATATCTTGTTATGTTATGATTTTATTCTTAAGTAACTTGATACAAGATTATTACTATTTAAAGTTAATTTGAATGGCAAAGACTCTTTACTCTTGTCATATAAATGCATGGTTGAAAGTTCAAATCTTAGCTATTATGCATGTGACAACTTAGTTAGAAGAAGCCTACCATTTACTTTCATAATTTTTGCTGTCAATAAAACTTACTTCTTATACTATAAAAAAAATTAAAAACTCAATACAAGATTATTTACAAAAATTGAAAAAATTTAAGATATTTATTAAAAACCTATTTCCTTTTTTTTTCCGTTAAATCTCAGCGTAGCTTAAAAGTTCTGTACAATTTTAATTAAAACCAACACCAAGATCATAGGAATAATTATCTCACCAAACATTTGAGATGGATTTGATTAAACTATATGAACTGGCAGCTAAGGAACTGACAGAAATCTACACCATCTCCATCAACAGCCTTACTAATTAATCACACAAGTTTTCATATCATTCATTGCACCAAAAGCACCATATGGTTATAAAGCCATCCAATTCCAACCGCTTCTTCTTCATTTCTATTGTAGAAGCATTAATTGCCTGCGAGACGCAGAGCACCACCTAGCATAGCAGCCATGGAGGTTGGGCCAATCAGAAGAAGAAGAATGTGTGAAATGGTGGAGCCAGAGGAACAGAACATGTTCTTGATCTTCTTCATCTTCAAGCTCTTCTATGGTTTCCTCTAACACTTTCTCTAAGTCCGACCTCTCGCTTAGGCTCAACACCGGCGCATCTGTACCGTTGCCGGCTCTGCACAGAAATGGCAGCCATGTCTGCATCATCTTTAGCTTGGTCACCTTGTTTAGCTCCGTCTTGTTGGCTTCCATGAACAATAATGCTACAAGGCACAAAGTGCAAATAGTTATGAGAGAACGGTCTTGTAAGAAACTATCCTACTTGTGCATAATATAAAAAACTTTTGAAGTACTATAAGTAAATGAGTATAACTTTTTCTATTCTATTTATAAATTACTTTCAATATATTTTATTAAAATAAAAAAAATTTAAACTTCATTTGCTTTGTCTAAATAAAATTTAATAAATTTTAAACTTTGCTTCTACCAAAATATGCATACTTTAATAAAGTAATTCTTCTATATCAAATTCTAACATACTTTTAGGATAGATATGGTATCTCAAAATATAAAATATTTTGATAAAAAAAATGTTTCTTTAATTATGTCTTTTCAATATTACTATTCACATTATATTTTCTCTCTTTAATATTCTTTCATAAATGAAGTATTAAATGAATGACATTTTTAAAAATGTATAATTTTTTTTTTTAAAAAAATAAAGTTATAAAGTATATTTAATAAGTTTTATTGGTATATATAATTTTGTCTAGAAGTGATTTATAATTTAAAATGAAATGAGTACTTTCTTTCTCTAACATTTAACAGGGATAAAGAAGAAAACTTGCAATAAAAATTTAATGCCAACACTTATAAATAAGACCAGAAATTTTTTTTTCACTCTAGCTTATAAATATGTTTAGAGGGAATAATTCATTTTTTCCAACTTTCAATGTAACACACAAGTTAGCATCACTATTTATATATTGAAAAAACTATTGAAAGTGGCACGGCTTGTAAAGTTCTGAAAAAATTACAGAGCTTTAAAAACTAAACTAAAATATAGGATAATATTTTATATAAAGAAATATGTATATATTTAAAAATAAAAAAGGACTGCATGATTCACTCTAAATTATTGATGCTATTACAAAACCTCAGTTTGAAAAGTCAAGGAAAAAAAATGTCAACTAGTTATATTATAACGGTATCATGTTATTAACAAACCAAAGCCAAAAGGGTACGAGCAAATATTGTAGACAAAAGAAGGCATGTGTTGTGCATGTATGACAACCCAACTTTCATGTATTGGGCATTCTAAAGCTTTTAAGAATATTTTTAGTAAAAAATATATTTAATGAATTTTATTGGTATGTATAATTTTGTTTAAAAATGTATTATAATTTGAAATGAAGGAAGTACTTTCTTTCACCAACATTTAAAATGGTAAAGAGAAGGAAACTTGCAATAAAAATTTAATGCCAAAACTTATAAATAGGATCAAAAATATTTTTTTTCACTCTACCTTATAAGTAGGTTTAGAGGGAGTAGTTCACTTTCTCCAAATTTCATGTAACACACAAGTTAGCATCAATATTTATTTTTTGAAAAAACTATTGGAAGTGGCATGGCTTTTAAAGTTATGAAAAATTGCAAATCTTTAAAAACCAAACTAAAATATGGGATGATATTTTATATAAAGAAATATGTATATATTTTAAAAATTAAAAAGATCTGCATGATTCACTCTAAATTATTGATGCTATTACAAAACCTGAGTCTGAAAAGTCAAGAAAAAACAAATGTCAACTAATTATATCATAACCTTAACCTTATCATGTTATTAACAACCAAAGCCCAAAGGGTATGGGGAAATATTATTATAGACAAAAGAAGGCTGTGTTGAATGACAACCCAAGCTTGATGTATTGGGCATTCTAAAGTTTTTAAGAATATACCTAAGTGCCAACCTCTTTATCAAATAAAATTAAAACTTAGGTTTGAATTTGTTGTTAAAGATTTTATCCATATGCTCCTCGACTGAGATGGTTGTCATTCAGTCACCTAATCTACAAAATATGACACACAACATATCCTTGATTCTTAACCAATTAAGAATAAATGATATCTCATGGGATATATCTATGTATATAACAACATTCATGAGCATATTTTGTTTATGCCTAATATTTTCTCATAATTCATTTATAATTTCAGTGCATCTCATTTACTTTATAAAGTGCATTGACTTATTTTGTTTATATGTTAGAAGGGTTTTATCATAAATCCCTATCCCAACCCACATCCTGTGTTTCAAGTAGCCAAGTAAATTATTTTGCACTTTAGATTTCAATTAGAGATAGGGGTCTCATCTCCCTTTGCAGATGGTCATATATTTTATATTAAAATTTTATAATAAAAAAAGTAAAATTAAATTATAAAAAAACTGCATAATTCTGAATTATTGATCCTATTTCAAGAACAACCTCGGTTTGAAAAATAAACTAAAAACTTACAATGAATTATTCTTAATTAGGGATTTTTTTTAGTCATAATTTTAATATGCCGCAAACACAGCCACATTATGAACGTTACTAACAAACAAAAGATTGTGAGCAAATATTATGACAAAAAGAAGGCATAGGTGTGAATAACATCCCAACTTGTTCCCTAATGGCAAGCACTCAATGGGCATTCTAAAATTTTTAGGCAAATTCCTAAGTCTAACCTATTTATCAAATTGAATTTTTTTAAAAAAAAAAAAACTCCTCATCAAATAAAACTATGACTTAGGTTTGAATTTGTTGTCCTCACAGTCACAGGATTAAAGATTTTGGCCATATTGTGAATTCTCCTAAATTGAAATGGTTGGCGTTCAATCATCTAATCTAATTCTATTGTAAATACTTAAATGGTATTTCACGGAATATGCCTTTTTTATTGCAATATACCTATTTATATAATAAGATGACTCTTGTGTATTGCATGTTCTTTAAAAAAATAAATTGTATTAGCAATAGGTGTTAGTTTTAATAGAATAGATTATGATCATTAAGCACAAGCCCGTGTAGAATATTTGAGAGAGTTATTCTCAATTGAACTTAATATACACTCAATTAAATAGTCATATAAAAAATAATCGTATTATTTATAACTTCATAATAATATAACTTGCTAAAATTATATTTAAATAAATATATTAATTGATAGATTTTTTTGTTTTTGACCACCTAATTGGTAGATATTTAAGAGCACATATATTTTGTTAACGGCGAATATTAAATTATAGATTAAAATAATAAGTTTGAAGCGTGAAAGAAAGCTAGAACCCCATAGCCTATGGAATACCTGTGACTTTGACCATCGAACCTTGCAACCGCGGTTCAGCCGTGAGAGCGACCCAAGCCAAATTAGACGCCGCCGCCCACTGCGTTACAGCTTCATCTCCAGAGCCACAAGCCGCCAACTTCTGAGCCAGCCACAGCAACTCAGCAGCCAGCTTCTCCGCCGAAATCACGTCCCACCGGTTCGCCTCCCATCGAGCTCTCAATCTGGAGTGAACCGCCCTAACCGTCCGAACGGCCTTCATAACCGGCTCAACGAGTACTCCCCCGGTTCATCTCCGGCTCCCCACCCCCATTCTCCGCCCTCCACCACCGCAGCCTCCAGCCGACTCAACGTCCTCTCAAACGCCAGCGAAAGAACCGACCGATTCACCTCGCGCAGCACGTCGTTCCCCTCCTGGTGATTCTCCTCAATAATCCTCTCCGCCAAAGATCGAACAACCTCATACTTTCTTGAACTCACCGGAATGTCGGTTACAATCGACAATAGCTGCGAGAGTGCTCGAGCAATACCCGAGTCTACGCCGCCGCGGTGTACGGCAACGTGGTTTTCTTTTGTCGGCAAGGCGAGGGTGTAGTTGTCGGAAGAAAAGGATTTGTTGGAAGGGACGAGGAAATCGAAGAAGAAAGAAGGGACGACCCGAACGAGGAAAAAGAAGGAAGAAAGTAAAAGGTAACGAACGGCGTGAAGGAATCTGTACCTTTTGGCCAAATAGACAAGAAACTTATCGGCGTAGATCAGAAAGGCGATCACGAGATTTTGGAGGAGCAACGGAGCTACGGTCACCGGAGAGCTGTCCGTCAGCCACATCTTGAAGAAGTCGCTATTTTATTTGGGTTTTTTTTTTTTTTTTTCACTTCATTGGGATATTTAAAGGTGAATGAATGAATAACTGGAAATCAAATTAACGTGTGGATGGTCATGTCGTTCAAGTGATTGGTGTTGGTACAAGTACAACTACATATACGCCACTCGAAGTCTTACGTTGGACCGTTCAAATGGATTTTGGTGCACAATTTCAGCGCTCGGACGGTCAATTTATTCACGGATTTTGCTCCTTGATCATATGGCCGAAATAGAAAATTCGTACCTAAAATTTAATCCAATTGTGTATAACTTACTTATTTCTTGTTATCCTGTCTAAGATACCCTTGGCTACTAGTACAATATACCTTACAAAATTTAATAAACTATTCCCTGTGAAGTATTTGTTTTGCATGTTTTAGCATTCTAATTCTTTAATTCAAACTAATTCAATTAATAATTAAAAGCATCTCTTTATGGGATATACCTTTCATCAAAAATTTAATCTTGATTGTATGCCTACAGGTCAAATTTGAAACCACTACTTAAGTTGGATCAATCCCTTATTAGTTTATGTGAAGTATTCTAAGTATCCTAAATTATCAAATAGAGCAATTAAGTCAACAAATATCAAAATCACTACAATGTTACTTGTTATGAATAAAGAGACATTAATATTGACAGTCAACTTTAAGACATTGGAGGGGATAGAGTGAAAAGTGAGGGAAAACAATATAGAGGGAAAAAACTAGGATGAACCAATAAAGATTAGTTAAATTGATAAAGATTTGACCTATAATTTATCTAATTGTAGGATCAAATCTCGTTGCCAATATAAAAATCTTGTTGGTAGGCAATCTTTAAATATTTTTGTAAGCACTCTTTGAATCAAGAGGCTTATCCTAGTCTTAATGAGTCTCCGAGACCCAACACACCTTCTTTTTCATAAGAAACTAAATAAGAAGAAAAATATTTTACAAAGTAGTAAATTTTTTTATTATTTTAAAATTTCTCTCTCCTAGTTTTATTTCTTCTTTATCTTTCTTCCCATCCAAAACATGGGTAAATTAACTTTGAGTAAAAGAGGATTTTTGCTTTATGGAGAAGGAACTACCATCTTGACAAATTCAAGTTCCTCTAGCCAAAAAAAAAAAAAAAATCTAGCACCTTCAAGTTCAATAATATGGAGCAATTGGCCATTGAATATTCCATGATTTAATAAAATTAGTAATTAGATGCCCAAAATTTATTGTCAAGATCCAAAGTGTTCTCAATTAGTATTATCTGTCATATACTTTTAACTTTGACTCTGATTTTGGACGAGAGCGATTTTATATAATCAATTTGAAACATTAGGATGTTCATTTAAAATTTTAAAGATTGAGGGTATTATACGCAATTCACAAAAAATTTAGGGATTTATGTTTATTTTTGGCTGCCTTCTCTCTATTTTCTGTAAATACATCAATCTTTTCAAATATTCAGGTAAAAAAAATCTTTTCAAATATCAAATCTCGGTGGCTTCATCTAAGCAGTGAGACTGCCACAAATTTAGATCATTGCATTAAATTTAATGATTTACGTTTGATGGTTTTTAAAATAGTATAAATTAATCTGTATCACTAAAATTTAATATGAACGGTTTAAAATTGCAATGAACAGAAAACGTAATGGAGTGAAATCCAAACTAAAAAATTAGATTAAGATTTTGTTAGATGTACTTTAATCAAATATGAGATATATTAAAAATTAGTAATTGTTATTATTTACAATATATTAAAAATTCAATACAATAAAAAATAAAAAAGTAATTATATATAAAGTAAATAAAGCGTGAGATGAATAGTCATCGTATGGGTGAGTATGTTGGTTAGACACTATATATGATACTCATTAATCTAGAATTAGGATCTAAATGAAGGTAAATTTTTCTAATGTGATTTTTCACTTTTCAGTCTTAATACTCAAATTATAAACACTAATTATTAATGAAATTGAGTGTGTCCCTTACTACCTATTTAAGTGATAAGAACCCTTACCACTTATATTAAGTTGGGTTAGTTTGAATTTATCTTCTCATCAATCCAAAGTAATTAAGAAGAAGCAAGTTAACAAGATAAATATGCTATTTTGGAAGGACTAATATAACTCAAACAAGAAACAACTAAGACTCAAGAAGCACTTGGGAACATTATTCAAGAAATCAAGTTTGGAAAGAGCACTTGGCATATGGAGTTTGAAGCTTGGGATATATGAAAAGGTTATGCATCTTGTTACATGATTTCACATCTTCAAACATTTTGATTTTTAGGCCAGCCCATCTTCTTCAAACTTAAGTTTGTATAATTAGATCCACTTCTTTCAAACTTATTAATTATAATGAAAAAAATATATCAAACGTGTGTTAATAAAAGTTAACTGGAAAAAAAAAAAACCATAGTAGTTGATTTAGTGAAAATAGCTAGTCCAGCACAATATAATGACTAGTAAATTAATATTTTAAATTTTTGTTAAAAAAAATGCTCACATTTAATATTTGACTTGATCATATTTCAAACAAAATTGTTTCAAGTAGGAAGATACCAGTATATAATAAAAAAAAATTAACAGAAAAGTTTATATATATATATAGATCCCTACAATATAAGTTTGTATAATAGCTTTAATCTAAAGTTAAAGCAAATCAATTAATCAGCTTTTCTGACGAGCTTCTAACCATATCTTCAAAATTAAACACAATCATTTAACATTAATATATTGAAACAAATTATACGTTAAGACTAAATTGATGGTTTAATATTAATTCACATTTTGTTAAGATTATAGTTTTGGAAAATATTTTTTATGGAAATAAATATATTAATTTTTAAATAATTAATAAGTAACTATAAGTTTGCACACAAAAAAGTTTAAATAAAAATGTTGAAAATAATATGTAAATGATAAATTTATTCAAACAGAAGTTTCAACACATCAATATCTAAAAGTTCATTTGTATTTATAAAAATATCATCAATCACTTTTTTAAGCCGATATTTTTATTATTTGACTTAATGTTGCGCGTAAAAAAAAAAAATCACACTAGTTTTTGATGGTTTATTAATACTTTGATAGTGCAGGCATGACAGGAGTAGTGTTTCTTGTATCATCTATTTATGAAGCTTATATCTGATGAAAAAAAATCATATTAATCTTATTAATATAAACACAAACCCACAAATTAAATTAACTCTATTTTTTTATATTTACTCATATTAAACACTCTATAATAAATATAAAATCATTATCAATAGGGACACTTTTGAAAAAAAAAAGCACTAATTACACCTCAAAAGACTAAAAATATCTTATATTTTTTAACATTTTTTAATAAAGGGAGTATTCTTTATTTTATAAACATGATAGATATCATAATTTTTTGAATTTTCCCCATTGACATGAAACCTCCCTTCAATGGAAGTAGAGGGGCTTGGAGGATTCATTATTATTTATCAATTACTCTCTCCAATTTTAAATCATAGTAGCTAATTTAGGAGTTTGTTTTTTAGTTTTAAATATAAGGCCTCAATATATTTTGTCTATCATATTTATTTATTTTTAATCTAACACATCAATGTGTGCAATTATTAACTCTAGTTTCTAATATAAATAATTAAAAATGAGTATTAAAAGGAAATTAATATATATTTTTACAAATAATTAAATTAATTAATTTTATAGATTAATTATCTAGCGCGCTCTTACATTTAAAATCAGAGGGAGTCTATTTTTAATTTACTTTGATGTTGGTAGTTGTAGGTGTAGATTGTGAACAATGTTTAAACCAAACCATGACAATGGGGCAAACTAATTATCAAGCACAGTATGATGAAATAACATAATCCAATATATTGTGAATTTTGGTTATGTAATATATCATATAAACTTGTACGTTTAAAATCAATTTATATGTTTTAATTTTGATTTATGTCAACGAAAATTGTATGTTCATAAGTCTAGATAAGTACGATATTCCACTACTTGAATGATACCCATATTCGATGATTTTCTTAGTTGGTGACAGCCAAAAAAAAAAAAAAAAAAACTGTATAACCTAATCAAACTTGGGAAGTAGAATCAAACTTCATTAGAGTTTGATCTATAAATTTTTATCATTAATTTTTTATTTTAATATCTAACTATGCTCTCATTTATATTTAAACTCGCTTAGCAGTGTTATTAGTTAATTAAAAAATAGTCATAATCATAAAATGGCACCTAACAATAATTTTTTTTTATGTAACAAGTTCCAATTTATGTTACATTTTTTCTTAGCAAAATTAATTTTTAAATAAACATGTATAAATTTAAAAAAAATAGTAAAACGTGAATAAATTCCCTAGTATCATGTGTGTGGCGTAGTTCACTATATATGCTTTGGGCTACAGTAAAATTGAATTGCCATAACAAAAATATGCATTGCCAAGAATCCAAATATTCTTCTCACATCGCGAGTTCGAATCACGTTTGCGAACTGTTTAATCATATACATGCATATATAGATATATAAATTTATATGTGTGCGCACGCGCATGCATTATATATACATTTCAAGTTCACAAGAGTGAATGCCTATGAGTGTATAAGTAATGCTTCTAGATGAATTAATTAGAATTCTATGTTAACAATGAATATCTTTATGAGCAATAATTTAGATAGTTTACTTGGCTTATTCCATTGAAATGCTTACAGAAATCATAATCTTAAATATTGTTCTTCCTGATAGATCCAGAATGTTGTCTATGTTTTTTTTCTTTTTACAGTCATTATTGTTCTTTTAATCTAGTTTGAATCTCTATTAAGCTTGTTGGTTAGATTTAGATTGAAATGCATATTTAATTCTAGTACGTAACAATTATCTTCATGACTAATCCTCATAAAATGATATGTTATTTATCGTTATTATTTACCTATTGGAGGCAGCATAATCTTTTGTAACACATAAAACATGATCTTTTCCAACATCATTAAAATCTATCTAGAGAGTTAAATTATTCAAACATAGGGTTAATTCAAAATATTGATATGTTAGGACCTATTACTAAGTGCATGGGATGAGGACAACTCTTACATTTTTGGGCATATAATGACAATTATTCGATTTGATCAGAATATTTATAGGAATATTTTATATCTTCTTAAAAAATATTAATTGCCAGTGTCTTCCTGGCCAAAAAGCAAAAGAATTGTTAAGTGTCTTCATGATCCAATATTGGATATCAAAGAAAAGAGAGCAGAGATGACGGCAACAAACCAAAGTTCGAATTCCTGAAAGATATGCTCAAATTTAATATCCTACCATGACCAAATATAACTATGAACTATAGGAAGATAACTATGAACAATAACTAAAAAAAAAGAGAGAGATTAGGGTGGAGATGATGGCTAGGCATGACAACACATTTGTCACTAGTGCCCACCTCACTGTCATCTTGCCTTCTGCATCGGAGCTAGGTTCTAGGTACCGTCGCACATGGTCGGTCATGGATGGCTTAAAAAAAAAAAAAGAAAAGAAAAGAAAAAAAAAAACCTAATCAAAAGGACTCGGATCACCTCAGGTGTATTACAAAGCTTCAATGGGAATGGCATCAGGATTCTCATTCTTCAGAATGAAACCAAACCTGAACAGAATTTATGGATCACACCAAATGTTCTTGATTTGCATATTTATTTGTTCTGAATCCTCTTTTATTTTTACCTTTACACGAGGGTAAAAAGAACTTCCAAACAAACAATGAAGCAAATAAGAAAAAATTGCTATGCTCCTCTTTCTAGTAAGAGATTATATGCTTATAACATGCAAGGAGCACGTCAATTATATCATACATGATGTTCTATAATAAAATGAAAGGCTATTATGGCCATATCCTCACACTGCTCCAAAATCATAGCGCAAATTACAGAGAAAAATAATGGTATGAATCTACATAGAGAGAAGGAGAAATCAAGAAATAATAAAATGACACCACCTAACTTTCAATTTTACAAAGGCAGAATAGAGAGGGGAGTTGGTAACAGGATTTCCATTATCTCCAAACTAGGATATGGAATTGCATATGCATCTCTGGAAAGAGAAGTCTTGATTTTCTATACCCTGAAATTCAGAGAAAATTATTTACACTCTCTTTTCTCAGTCTGTCTCTCTTTTTCACCCCTTGAAACGAACGACAATGCAGGAAATGTCGTCTTTGCTTTCTCGCTTCAACGCCTCGGCCACGAGCTGTTTTGCTGCCTTTTGTGGATCCTTAATCTTTCTAGCAATATCAACTGCCTCTTGATTTGCCATAACCTATAGATTGAATGAAAACTAAGTGGGAAAATATGTTTTCTTAAAGAAATAATGGATAGAGAGAAAATTAACATATAAAGACCTTCCATAGGCCATCACTTGCGAGAATCAAAAGCTCAGTATCTGGATAAATCTCAACATGCTGAATGTCGGGGTCAGATCGCAAGTGTGATTTAAGGTTTTTGTCCCCAAAAGCTCGAGAAACTGCAAGTTGGCCATTCACTCTTGCAACATCTCCTAAAGTAGCATCAACATATCAATAAATTATTAGAAAATATAAAACTCTCAATCAAGGAGTCATTTGAATAAGGGCATAGATAATAACACCTTCCTTGGATGCTAATATTTTCAAAGGAAAATATTTTTGGATGCTGAAAGAGGGAGAAACTCAAACTGTACTGGTCTAGAAGCAATGTCTGGAAACCAGTTTGATACTTCCCAAACAGACACCAGGTACACCAGGTAACAGAAAACTACTAATTTGTAAGCATCAAAATTTAAGCAGATAATGATAGGTTAGCCATGATTATTTTGAGAATATATGTGCTATTGATATGGAATCCATTGAAATACTCAGTATTATTTATGTCAAAAGGTCTGCAGTTCCTATCCAACAGTGAACAGAACTGGGAAGATGCAGAAACAGCGCTTATGAAAAGAGAAAAACAAAAACAAGAAAAGATATTCTTTATCATTTGAGGGATTCGACGCTCTCATAAGCCAAATGATTTTTCTGGCTACCTTTTCTCACTACCTCCCAGAATGCTTCCTCTTTCTCCCTTTACTACCTATGTACCCTGTGGCAAGATAGCTAAGCATGGGAAACCTCATCACTCCTCTCACGGATGCCCCCCTCTTCTGTTTTCTTTTCTGTCTTTCTTTCATACACTCTATTAGAGCACGGCTCAATGAGCATGGATCCATCAACATCCAGCTGAACAAGTGCCACATGTTCCTCAAGGTGGAAATTCGAAGTCAGAGCTGGGACCTCCTTTTACATCAAACCTTGTTCTTGTTTCACCAAAGGACTGAAACAACCATATTCCAACCTATAATAAAAGCCAGTAACAGCAGCATGGACCAAGAACATTCCAAACTCACTTGCAATATAGGAAATCTCTCCATATGTTGGACACCAATCATCATCACTATCATCCCAAGTTACTTGTTCATCATAGCCATGAAATCGCAACTTCAAAATGCAAGAGGAGCTTCCAAAAGTTTCATCAGAATCTTTAGTTCCAGTTGCAAGTCAATTATCTACCTGGCCAAAATAAGAGGGACACCATCCAATTGTTCTGCACTACGATCACCTAGAGTTGCTGCTCCAATAACATAATGGTTATTCAGTTGTTTATAGGTAATAAGTATCATTGACTGCGAGCAACTGAAAACAGTATATGGTCATCCCCTACCAAATTCCTTGTCCTGGAAAAAGTTTAAAAGATTCCAATGTCTGGCAGAAAAAACTATAAATTTCTATTGATGGCAAACACCCAATACAAAATAATTTCATCTTCTGCCTTAGTATTTCCTTCATTTAAAACTTACCAAGTTTTCAAGGAAGACAGGTGTTTGCTCCTAGGTTCTAGTCCTACAAACAGTGATTTATGTAAATCTAAGCCAGGGACAAGATATAACTTCTCATGGTTATCTAATTGCTCATCATCTTCTACTTCAGCCAAGTCATACCATCCACCGAGTCCAAGTTGACTGCCATGGCGTGCCTATATCACACAGCTTGACCATGACTTGGAGCATATACAAGTACCCAGGCACATGGACTGTATTCCGTGAATGAAAGCAATTGAGTACCTCTCTGATTCTGAGTGTAACCATTCCCAGTGAAATTCACTTGTGCCCAGAACTGGGATCATCAATTGCTAAAGCACCATATTTGTCTCATCTTTCAATCTTTTTGGGGTGGAAGCTCTGATTTTAGCCTCTCAAATTAACAAATCAGCCTGTGCCACTAAGCATTTTTAAAATGGTCTCAAAAATGCACAGCTGCAATTTAAGAGATTTTCAGTTCTCTTTTGCTTGATTGGGGTTGAATGAATTCATCTTAAGATTATCCCACATTCATTGCCTCATGCAGTTGAGTTTCTAACAGAATCTTCCTCACAGAAGCAATTGGGTTGGCCCACCTAAGCTCATTCAAAAACTCAAACAATACATGCTTGTTCAAAATATCCAAAGCTTTTAAGTTTCCAAATATATGGGTTTAACCCCATTATAAATCCCTTTCTTGCCACCTATGTCTTCCCAACCATGGGAATCTCTAGGATTACCTCCCCCATAGCCTGGGCAGTATTTTTGTTCTTACCTTCTGAAAACCTATGTTTTGTTTAAAATGTGCTCTTCATCAACACTACCTGAAGTTTTCTTCATATTCTTGGAAGTTATTCCCACCGTGCTGACAAGTACATAGTTAGGTGTCATTAAAAATGTTGAGATATAAAAATGCATGGAATGAACGTTTGCCACTTCTTCTTCTTCATTTTTTTTTTTTTTTGCATTGCAAGTTGATGACGTTATGAGTGGTGCATCTTTCATCATAGCAATAATCACCATATTCCTTCCTAGGTTTGGCATCAGAGGTAGGGGTAGGTGTAAGACGAAACAACACCCACAACAGTCTATGATTTTGACCAGGTTCAACTTGTAACTTGTCAATTGACTGAAAAAGGTGGGCAACATAGTCAGCCATTGATTAAGAGGTAGTATACCAATAATATCAAATCTCCCACACCACCATAAAGTAGGTTTGATGGGCATTGGCGGATGGGAAATCCTCCCCAAAAAGTCAACTATAGAAATAGGAGAACTAACCCCCTTAGGTACTCCACAAAACATCCCATGATACCGAATATGAGATTAGGCATCCCATACTACTTAAATCTTCATCAACAAACCACCTTTGGAGAGCCAGCATCCTAGTGGCTACACTCTGACACTTTCTCAACTTTAAGATTGCTCAAAACCATGCCCAGGTAGCCCTTTGCATAGTCGCTAACTACCAATTCTATTCCAATTAATGGGCACACAAGTAGCATAAGAAAACCCCTTACAAAAGCTAGTTATTGAAAAGGGAGAATCATCCCAACTAAATATGCCATAGAGCATCTCATATTACTAAACATAGAACTAGACATCTCATATTTCCGTAGTCTCTGTCAGAACAACATTAGAAGCATAAGTAATTTAAACAGGAATTACACGTAGGAACCAGATGGAAGTCTACTATTGAGTTCTAAGATGTCATCCAATCTTGAAAACCAAAATTTTCACACTAAGTGGACTCTATTAATCATTGATTTAATTCAAGTTCAGGTTTCTTAAAGTACATGTCTCTCAATATATGCGTATCAAACATTTAAGTAGCAAACATTTAAACCCTAAACACATACCAGCGATACCCTTCCCAAACACAAAAGTTAAAAGACATCTCAAAATATGAAATGATATATCCTGCATCAAACATTTAAGTAGCATGTGATAGGCCACAAAGTTTATTAAAGAACCTGGCAAGTTTGAGACAAAGCCACCTCTGTCCTCAATACTGTCCCGCTCAGTGTTAGGCTCATGATCAGTACTCATCTGTATGGCTGACCCTCCCCTTGACATAACTGCTCGTGAATCTCCAACATTAGCTATCCATAGCTTCTGATTATTTAAAAGAATTGCAGTCACTGCAGTTGAACCACCCCGCCCCAAATCAGCACTGTGGGATAGAATTGCCTGATCTGTTGTCTCATAGGCTTTGACAATTGACCTGTTTGGATCATTCCAGAAGTCCTCCTGGAATAATAAATAAAAGTTTGAGAGTGCGGTTTCCCAAACTACACAATTCAGAACTTGCACAATTTTCAGAACTGGAAAGACATTATACAGATTGCTTCAAGATATTGAGTTAAAATGGAGTATTATCATGTGATGAATGGCAAAATACATACATACATACATATATATATATATGACAAGTCAGGAAACATACATACATACATACATATATATATGACAAGTCAGGAAACAAAAATATCTTCTAACAATTTCTGGAACTTGGAAATTGCATTGTGACTGTAGAATCCAGACCCAAACAAGGTGTGCTTCACAAAAAATCTGCTAAATAAAGCTTTATTTAAGTGTGTGCTTTTGTAAGCTATCCATTTGGCATAATGTCCAACATACAACAGAAAGGATAATATATCTTTTTCCTTGTGAATAATCCATAATATCTTCAATTTGATTCAATTACTCACATCCTTTAATATATTAGAAAACAGATGCTTTTGTAGATAGGCTGGTACACTGTCTCCCAAGTGCCCATCATATATAGCAAAAAGCCCAATCTCATGCCCTCTGAACTGGACAAACTTTGCTACATGATAATCCTCCATCGGGTGGTTTGCTTTCCCTTTTACAAGGCAAAAGCCATACTTGACTGGGCACTGATGGCTTCTGCCCTTACCAGAGCTACATGAAGAACGCCCCCCAAGCACCTAATGATATTGAAGTTTCATAAATTAACAATAGATGTGTCAGCCTAGCACAATATATTTGGACTATATACATTAAAGAGGGGGAAAAATAGAAAATAGTGTTTGATGACCAAAAGAAACATATGACTTGACTTCAACAAAAAGGAGTTGCACACAAGAAGATTCCAATATACCACAATCAGAAAAAGAATGGGCAAACAGATTCGTTACTCAAAAATGCCATGTCATACAAAAAGTATCATTGAATTAATGCCAGAGACACTGCAATGAAGTGCCATCAACACCACCCAAACTGTATCTATCAGTGCCAACAACAATAATAAACCAAATGTTATCAAGTGGAAGAAATTAAAATCAGAAAGGCAGAATGATACCCACTAGCTAAACATTTGAAGGTCAACAAGTAAATGAATTAGACAATTTCGGCATGACTATTAAACGAATAAGCCATTTCAAGCAGAATAATCAGATCATGGCTGACTGCTGAAAATAATGCCAGTTCAAATTCCAGCATAATCAACAAAGAAGCTAGTACTGTTTATTTGAAGGAAAAGTAGCCATCTTCAATGGTTTCTCAACCCACCCACAACCCCCCAAGGACCAAAAAAAAAACTCTGTTAATGCAATTAGTGACTTGGTATAACAGTTCTGGGAACCATTTTCAGGCAGCCAAAGAAAAAATAACCCAGAAATAGTCATCTTGATAAAGCACACTCTGAACCCCCAATTCTGAAACCTATATCATGGGCATGAGTTAATTTATAATTTGAGCCCACAAATCATGTCGGTCACAATTGCCACTCATTTAAAGTTTAACTGATTGGCCATAATTACATATATGTTTGATATTGTTTTCGCAATCCTGACCGATCCATATGACCTCTAAAACTTAGCGCATATATAAAATAACTCCAAATAAAACTAGATCATATGCCATAAACCCCTTTCTAAAACCCATTGAAATTTTCAGACCATTAATTATATTTTCATAGTTTTGATTACTTCAAAAATTAAGTTTCTTTTCCAGTTCGTGGTTTTAAATCATAGATTTGATATTAAAAAAAAAAAAAAGGAGGCAAAGATAATAGGAACCAGATAAACTCACCTTAGAGACAGAGTTAAAACAACAAAGATTATCCATAAAAGTCAGCGCCAACTCACTTTCTCCGTCTCAGTCAACATCTAACACCTCTGCTTGCACAAAATTGGGGGAGGAAAAACTTTGATGTCAGAAAACAGATAAAATTCTGATAATTCCAAGAACTGCAAAACCAGCACAAGAATTGTGGTAATAAAAGAACTAGTAATTCTATCAGCACAGAAAGCCCAGAAATCTTTACTCACGCGTACAAAAGTCGCCGAATTTCCCAATAGAAAGAGGGGAAATATCTACAAAGGAATTGGGCAGCCGATTGGACTAACAGGAAGAGATAATTTGCAACAGACACCGAAAATTCAGACAAGAATAGGAAAAAGCATCGTTTAGAATTGTTGAAAGTTCGTAATGAGAGCGAGAAGGTGAGAGGATACCCTTATTGACTTGGCAGTTCAATCGAGGGTGTGTTTTATTGGAGTCCGAGTCACTGTTTGGTTCGAGAATTACTGCTATAAGATGAAGAATTGGTTGTACTTGTTCAAACTTGGTCTCAAGGTAGAAACGAAAGCTAATTGCATTGATTGGCTTTCGCCTCCGAAGACTGAGGGACCCTACTCAACAAAAGTCACCCCACATAGCCATTCTCTTACGGGAAACTCTGTCTCTTCGCCATCATTTCCATCAACTTCACTCCAAAGGATTCCCAATTTTACAGTATTTACCAAACCCAAAAAAAAAAAAAAAAACTATTTTTGTTTGGTTGATGGATATACTCTCATGTTTTTATTTAAAATTTGTATAAAAAAAATTCTTTTATTTAATTTGACTATATATTATATAAAAAAATAATTCAATTAGTTGAACGGAATGTCTCAATAATGACTTAATATTATAATGTAAAAATAAAATGTATTTCTCCATCTCTCATAAATAATATCTTGTTCAGGTGTCAAGTCACCTCCTCAATGTTTAATGTTTTTTTCAAGGAATGTAAAACCGGACCGGTCATTGAACCGGTCATGGCACTAGGTCACAGATTAGTCGTTTAATTAGGGTTGAACCGGGGGTTGAACCGGTGGCAAACCGGTCATGATTAAAATAATACAATTTAAATAAAAAGACATTAATTATAAAAATATTCAACTAAATCCAACCACTCAAAAGTCTAACAGTAATAAAATACAACATTTTAAATATTTATCATTACAATTACAACTCTTCAATCTCAAAAGTCTAGAGAAGAGATGGAGATAGAGTTGGAGAAGAGACGGAAATTGAGTTGGAAAAAAAGACGAAGAGTCAGAGACTAAACTGGAGAAGAGATGAAGATAGCAGAGACAGAGATAGAGCTGGAGAAGAGACAGAGATAGAGTTGGAGCCTGAAGAAGAGACGGAGACTAAGTTAGAGAAGAGACACTGATTAGGTTAGGGGGAGAGAGTAGAGACACAGATGAAAGGCCGAACTAAATGCTGTCTGAAAATCTGAACTGGACTTAGCGTGCTCTACCTCTAATTTTTTATTTTTTTGACTTTAGTTTCACTTTTTTTTTATTATCTTATTTCTGAATTCAGCACTCTAAAAAATAAAAAATGAAAAAAAATTCTCAAAAAAAATAACCCGGTTAACCCAGTCAACCCACCGGGTTATACCGGGTGAACCCGGGTTAACCGGGTTACACTGGTTCATTTCCTCACCGGTTTAGGAGTAAACTCAGACCGGATAAGGGATCAGGTCACCGGTTTTCGGGTTGACCCGGCTGGTCCGATGTGGGTTTCAATACCATGGCTTTTTCCATTACACCGTGTGTTAAAAAAAACAGAGAGATTCATTAAAGTAAATATCTATCATTAATTAAGAGCAGATATAAAAAAAAATTTTGTCACAAATTTAATTAGCTTAACTAATTTTATTGAAAATTAATTACCTAATATTTAAAACTGAAAGAAGTGATTAGGTGAAAAGTATTGGTTATTAATTTTCTTAACAATAAAATTTAAATGAGTTGCATTCCTCAGGCTTACTTGAAAACACTAATTTCATAAAATGTCATGTAACTAGTGCTATGTATAAAATATTCCAAAGTCAAAAAAAGATTTACATATAATCTACCATTAAGGTCTCAGGTTGGTAACAAGATTTGTTCTAATAATTGATTATTAGTTAAATTCTTATCAATTAAATGGGTCTTTTATTGGTAGAAAAGTATTGATAATTGTATAAATATTTTTTATTATTCATATGTATTTTTTTTATTAGAGGCAATCTTTTTTTGAAGAAAAGTCGAGCACTAAATGTGGGTATCTTTTTCAGTAAAAATTTAAACCTTGATTAGTTATATTATAAGAAATTGGCCTTTTTGCTAGACTCCATTGATTTTATTGTATAAATATTAGAATAAAGGAATTAAACCTTTTGGAAAAGAAATAAGTTAGAAAATAACAACACTTTACATTAATATTGATTATATAATGCAGAAACAGTTAAATGTAATTACAACCCAAAAAAATAAATCTTTATGTAACTGGTTGTTAATTTGTTATTCCCTCATTAAAAAAATTGAAATATTAAAATTGATATAACAAAAATTGTAATTTTTAAAGGATTTTTTGTCGTTAAAAAGGATAAATAAATTATTAATATATTTATTAAAAATTTATGAAAAGGTGTGGTATTAAATTTCCAGCGAAAACTCATGTGCATAGATTACTTGGAGTGCCCCGGAAAAAGTCTATTGGAGCAAAACAAAGTATTTTGAATAGCATTCAAGTCCAATGAAAAGTCAAGTCAACTGCCATTAAAAAGCACAAACGCGTCGATGTCATTATCAATCAAAAAAAAAATATCTGCCACAATTATCAACATTACTAAAAAATTATTTTTTCTTTATTTTATAAATAAAACCTGAATTGGATTTCATCCGGAAGAGTGGGACTATTTTGAACTGTTTTTAACTTTCTTTTTTATTTTGCACTTATTTTAGTAATAGAATTTTTTATTCAATTTAAAAAATAGTAATATCAACGCATGGTAAATTTTTGAGTGCAAGATATGTTTATTGACGTTATATGGATGAAAGTGTAAATAAAATTGTATTCATTTACTTTAAATGAACAAATAAAGTAAATAAAAAATATACATATAAATAAATAAGAAAATTAAAACCAAATATATTTTAACTTAACAATTTTGAAGTAGAAATAATATTATCAATATTTTTAATGTTTTATATATGTATTCATATACGTATTATTATTTTTATTATTATATGATCAAACTGGTTAAATCATAAAAACCATAACTCACTTATCATTTTAGTTTGTTATCTGGATTTAGTTTAAGTTTCAGAGTCCAAATTTTATAAATGGAAACAATCACGTTAAGATAATTATTTTCAGTTAAAGTGGATAATTTTTAACCATGACCTAATAATATTTTAGTATCTCATATAATCCTAGAAAATTTAAAAAGAAAACCTACAAGCTATATTTTTCATTTGTTGTAAATAATACTTTTTCCCTTCAAAAATATAAGACATTTTTTAGTAAATTTGATGTTAAAAAATATAAGACATTTTTAATCTTTTAAGGTGTAATCATTATCTTTTTTTTTCAAAAGTTCTCCTATTGATGAATGACTTTATATTTATTATATAGTATTAAATAGGGGTAAATGTAAAAAAATAAAATCAATTTAAAAGTAAATAACTACTTTATTAAAAGATGAGATTTAAATATAAATATTTTATATTTTTAAAATGGAGGAAGAATAACTTTAATTTTCTTTTTTAAGCCACATCTTAGTTTTCAAACTTTATGACTTCATGCGATCATGAAAAGTCCATATCTAATAATCATAAATATCAATATTAATAGTAATATAAATACAAAAAAGGAAAAATTTATATGTTTAAGATCTAAGATTATTGTTTTTAATTAATTCAAGATATATAATTTTTTATATATTACTTATCTTATATCAAACTCTTATTATTAATATTTTTAGCATATTAAAATTCACTTATTTTTATTAGATTAGATTAAATTTATTAAAATGAGGGAAAAGCATTTTGAGAGTATCTCTAATTTTCCTCAATTTTTAATTTGAAACGTATGCATTTTTTTTCCTTTTTATTCCACTCTTTAAATTTCAAACGTTAGTTATGTTAGGCCCTGGACATTCAAAAATAGAGGAGGGACTTGCAAAGGGAAACACGCCATTAAGTTTGAAAGTCAAAAATGAGGCTTCAAATGGCTTTGACAATTGGAGACACTGTTATCAGAATCGAATCGAATCAACTAATCTAATTGGTTAAATCAAGAATCAATCATAGATCTAATTCAATTACAACAAAAAATCACTCATTCTGTGAATTAGTCATGAACTGACTGTGAACTGACCAAAACTAATAAAAAACCAATTAAACTGGACATATTTCTTTTTTATTTTTACTTTATATTTCTAAAATATAACTTATACATATATATACTTAATAATCATTATGAAATGAAAAGAATATACGAAATATGTATGAATTATGTATATATATATATATATATATTTTAAAGTTATAAATTATAATATTTTGGATGAAAGTGATGTAATAATATTGATTAATATTATCTTTTTATTGCATATTATTTTATTTGAAATTTAAATATTTATTTTTCTTACTATAAATAATTATTTTTTTACATTAAACATATAATATTTAAAATATACTCCCTCCGGTCCTATTTATAAGTCATTTCTACTAACCTCATCAATACCAATACAATAAAAGTATAAGGAATAAAAGTAAGTAAAATTCCAAACATGCCCCTATATAATAAATCTAAAAAGTAATGTCCTGTTATTTTTTCTCTCTCATGAAGGGTAATTTTGGAAATACCTCTCAAATATCACCTAAAAAGACGCACCATAACTTATAAATGAGACTAAATAGACCTTCTAAAATGGGATTTATAAATAGGACTGGAGAGAGTATCAATTTATTTATAATTGATTAGATTATAATTTTAAATTAATGATTCGATCGGTTTAATAACCGATTCAATTTTCATAAGATGAATTAGGGATCTCTCACAGTGCGGCATGTCCATGTTAGCGGCGCTGGAGAGAAGCATCTACGAGTGTTTAGTCACTTTTAGTTAAGGTTTATCGAAGTTATTAGGAGAGTGAGAAGATATCTTTGAGTTGATTGAAAAGACAGTCATTGGGATCTCCAGCAATTGCAAGAAGCTCATTATTGGAGGGAGAGGTTCTGAATTCTGATGAACGAGAATGCGTTATACTTCTACCATTTCACTGCTTCCTTCCTAGTTTTTAATGTTAAATTTCTTATATTAAATATAATTAAAAATAATATATTTTATTAAAATCATTTAAATCATTTTATTAGATAATTTTTAAATTCATATATTTATAAGTTATTTTTTAATTTTTAAATATAAAACTTCTTTTATATTCTGGTATTCTTTTAATACTTTTTTTCTCTTGTTTTTTATTTTTTTGTTCTTGTCTAAGCTTGTATTTTTTTTAAGTTTAAAAGGTCTTAGATCTATTTAATTTCTTCTTCTTCTCCTTCTCTCTTGCTTTTTTAAATCTCTTATTTTTTTCACATTTCATTTCTTCATTTTTTTTGTACCCGATCGAATGACTTATGATACCATATTAAATTTTTTATATTAAATATACTTAATGATAATATACTTTATTAAAATAACTTAAACCATTTGGATAAATACTTTTTAAGCATATGCATTTATGCTTTATCTTGTAATCTTTAAATATGAGACTTTTTTTATATTCTAACATTCAAGAGGTCCTAGAATACAAGATTTTTCCCCCTTAGCCAACATAATTATCTATTTTAAAAATTAGCAACGAATTTTGGCAAGTTAGAGGCTTAGTGGCAATGTAGAGTTGATAAACTAGATATTAGAAATTGCCGTAAAGACAGGGACTACAACTTACTGTCACAATAACAACAAATTTTGTAACTTACATATTCACAATAGCAATGCTGTCAAATTGGATTCATTTTGTTTTGATTTTGTGACGGCAAGAAACATTCATATTATTTCGATTCGTGACAACAAAATCTTACATGAATTGGACAGCATCAAAAAGAAATAGAAAATGACAATAGCAACAAGCTAGTCTTCATTCCAAAATAATGGTTCTTAAAACTACAACATAAGTGGTCTGTATAGCCGCTTAAATTATATCACGGTATAAAAATGAGAAAGAATTGCATTTTGGGCCCCCAAAACAAAAATATTTGCATGAAAGCGCTAATAGAATCTGAAAATAATTATGCAATCTAAAGACCTCTCTTGCAATTAAGTTTTTTGGGAAAATATGGAATTACCCTTTTGTGAAATAAATAACAAAGGTTCCACAAATAACATTGAAAATATATTTATTAATAACAAAATGTCTATTTTATTTCACATAGCTTTTTTGTGCCACACGTGTACTTCCTACCTTCCACTTGTACGTGGCCATATGTCGCCACGTGTCTTCACATTCGGCAAATTTGTTCCTGTGAGTCACCTCTTCTTCTTCATCTTCGCTATTTCTCTTTGAAGGCTTGAAGCTCAGGTGAGAATGATGCTGAGAACGAAGAGCTTTGCTTTTTCTGCAGAAGAAGGAGCATTTGAGTGGTGGTGGAATGAGATTCATTGTTCTTCACATCAACGCCAGAGTCCGATTTACTACGTTTTATGTGCTTCTGATGCCTTGGTCTCTGTCGCCGCTCTGGTAATTTTCTTTCGTTTTCTCGGGAAAATCGTGGTTTTCTCCGTCGACTTTCCTGGAAAGTTTCTTTCAAGCTGAGCATTCGAAAAAACTGAACAACATATTGTGCCATGGATCATAGGTTTCACTTTCTCATCGGCATTGTTTGGCTTTCTCTCTTCTCTTGAACTTTCAGAAATCCGAATTATTATACCAATCACTATTGAAAGTTTAACCAGTAATCTGGGAATCATAGAGAATTTATGCTGGAAATTATTTATTTATCATGTTGGAGTTACAATTAAAGTTTGAGATTTTTGAAATTGGGCATTTATAACATTTTGTCTTGCAATTATCAGATATCACAAGCTTCCATTGTACAAGTGAATTTGCCAGATAATAGATTTAATCTATTTTTTTTAATTTTCTGCCAAGAATTTGGTCAAAAAAAAATTTATGCCAAGAAAGCTAATTTTTTAACGAAAATATACTTTGCATGTCATTTCATTTTATTAGAAATTTAAATTTAAATTTATAGTAATGCAAAAGTTTAGACAATAGTTTGAGAAGTTATTTAGAACATTATCATGCAGTAAACCTAATTGAAGGATACATGTGTACAAGCAAAAAAATAATAATAATTACGCCTAAAAAGATAAATAAATAATCCAAACTAGAGAGTTTATTTTCTTGTGAATTTACGTAGAATTTAGGAATTGAACAAATAGATTACCTAAAAAATTAATTAAAGCAAAGATTGAAATTATTTTCACTGACCAAACTCTATTAATAGATTTTAAGAGTTTGCTATAAAATTTTGAGAAAATGATCCCTCAATGTTAGGAAAGTTATTATCAAAATCACTTAAAATCATTAGTTTAACTTTTTTAAAATCATATAGCAGGTTCCCAAAACTTTTAATTTTGAATTTCAGTTTCTAGAACCCTTGAACACAATTTTTTGTTAAATTTAAATCCTTAAATGCAATGTTTCCTCAAAAAATTCTGGCCTTTGTAGCTATTTGTTTTATTCTTGGAGGCATTTATTTAAAACTAGACACATTTTCTTATACATTATTTTGAGATGACGGGTACTAGTTATGACTTATCCTATGTTTGATATATTTGCTACTAGGTTCAATTGGCGCGGATTCAATTAAGGATACATGAATATGGATTGACAACACAAAAAGTTTTTCATTTGATGACTTTTCTTGTCAGTGCAAGTAAGAATTATAAAACCTCTATAAAGAGGGTAAATTTATTATTTTGTTTCAAAACTGTTACATATGTTCAACTTTAGTCCACAAAAGCTAGTGAGTTTATAATTTTAGTCGCTAAAGATATAAAATATTCATTACATAATAGTCCTTTTATAAGTGACCCAATAATTGTGAGAAGTACTTGTATGCATTTGATATTTTCAAAAATTGCTTAACACAACCCCTCATTTTTGACAAATTAAGTTGAAATATGTGGACTCGACAATTTTTAGACCAAATCATTAGACAATAACAGCTATATATATATATATATATATGCTAATTTATGTTTATTTAGCTTTACTAATTTGAAAAATTATATATTGCTTTTGCAGTAAGAGCTGTCCTGTTTGGTCTTCACAGAATTGTGTTTTCCATTAGACCTATGGTATGTATATTCCTATTCTCGAATACTTAGCGTTCTAATGGTGTTTGATATGAGGGGAAAAAAATTTCGAACTCCTGAATTTTTTTTAAGTAATATGTTTTGTCATAACAAATATGAAAGTCATAACATTTATGAGTTGTATATATCTTAAACAATGCAGAAATTATTTGCTTTTATCCATATAAAATATAGAGTTTATGCAGAGTCCCATTATTCATAGACAATAATTAATTTTTCAAACTCCTGAATTTTTTTTATGGAATATGTTTTGTCATGAAAAATATGAAAGTCATAACATTTATGAGTTGTGTATATCTCAAATAATGAAGATATTATCTGCTTTTATCTATATAAAATATACAGTTTATACGGAGTTGCATTATTCATAAACAATAAAAGTGTGGCTAAACTTTTTTTTTTAATTCTTTCAACTTTCATCACATGATTTATGTGTCTTTCTATAACTTTGTTTTTGTTCTTTTAATTCTTTTGTCTATATATTTCAATAAGGTTCAAATGTTAAATTGATGGGTACAATCATCAAGAAATTTTCACGTTTGGAATTTAACCACTTTTTGGGATCAAAAGATACCCAGTGCATACATGCATAAATATGATCAAACAATATAATAAATCTAAAGATTAAAATATACTTTTAATTCTTTCATTTTATATAATATTTCATTTTAGTCATTTAATTTTATAAAGTATATTTTTAGTTTTTAATTCTAATACTATTAGTTTCATCACAAAAAAATTTACATTGAACTTTTAAATATTAACAAAACATTTTCAAATGTTGATTTATTAAGTTTAATTTTTTTTAAATAATAATGATTGACATAAAAATAATCATTTAAAACTGATGGTGTTAGGTTTAAAGAACTAAAAATATACTTGATAAAATTTAAGGGTAAAATTAAAACCTTATATATAATTAGAAACTCAAAAGTATACTTTAGTTTAAATCTGAATGAGGTTTACTAACTTCTTTAGTTAGACACTTTGTAGTTTTTATGTCTATCTATTGCTGTAAATTTAAGTACAACTGACAGTTCACTTAGTACATACCTAAACCTAATTGATCTTAATATCCTTTTAATCTATAAATCACAAGTATTCTTTTTTTTTTTAACCAACTATCACTCACAAGTATTCTAACAATACATAAAAGAAAAACTTACTCCCTTCTATCAAAATTATAATACACTTTTAATTAATTTACACCCCTATAAGTTTTACACATTCTTTTTTTGTTTATTCTTATTTAATAGATTGTTTCAATTAGAAAATAGTATTATTTACACCCTGAATTAAGGATATTTAAAAAAAACTATATTAATTACATCTTAAAAAATTTAAAATGTCTTATATTTTTTAATATGATACTTTAGGAAAAAAATGCCTTATTATACTGAACAGAAGATGTATGTATTTGCCTCAACCTACTGAGGCTGCTTTCCAAAATATCTCTTAACAAAGATTCATTTCTTTTTGCTAAAGTACTACTGAATAATTTATGATGAGATCATGTTTTGATTTTTCAATACAATCAATCATGCTATAGGCATTAGAGCAAGTGTTGATGGATATTCCTGGGCTTCTGTTCTTCTCCACTTTTATATTACTTGTGCTGTTCTGGGCTGAGATATATAACCAGGTACATCTACTATCTTCTAGGAGGATTACAATGAAAGTTGTTAACTCATACAAAAACTGAATAGGTTGAATAAAATGTACAAACTTTATTTATGACCGTGATCATAGAAAATTACTATCACTAGTCCACAAAGCTAATTTTCACGACTATATATGGAGTGATGTAGAAATAAGTAAAGTAGCAATAGCTAATTCTTGCGATCGGTGAAAATGCAACAGTGGTAGAATCAAGGTGGAACTATGGCATCTGTTTCCTTAATGGAAAAATCATTCTTTAAAGGATTACACAGCTAACTCCAAAACTCTTTGAGGCGTAACACATGAGACCAGGATTCAACCTCCCTGTTCAACACCTAACCTGTAGGCCTTTATATGGGCTTAGGGTATAACCAACTTAATGATCAACAACTTCTGCTAACTATTCAATATTCCAGTATAGGTCATTTTCACTATGTTTTATTTGGTTCATGAGTTTAAAATTTTTTTCAGGCAAGAAGTTTACCATCAGATAAACTTAGGCCAGCCTATTATATCATCAATGGAATTGTATACTTCATACAGGCAAGCAGGCACATAAATATGGCTTCCTTTGTTAATCATGTTAATCATCTTTATTATTAAATTATTGTTTTTTCCCCTTTTGAAATCGAATGGTATAGATCTGCCTCTGGATTTATATGAGCATAAGCAAAACTACAGCTGGAGCAGAATCTGCTAAACTCTTCCTGGCAGGTTAATTACTTATCACTGTCAATTATGATTTTAATATTTCAAAGAAACTTCTGACCTATAACTGTCTAGTATGATGAATTTTGTCCTAGAATGACTGAAACTCTAGTATAATGGATTTATATATCCAAATGGTTCATACGTTTTTGAAACTTCAAAAGATATACTTGTCTAGTAGGTTTAATATCATCGGAAAATGATCTGAAACAATGCTAGAATGAAAAAAGAAAAGTCAACGAGTTCCTAATTTTTGAAAAATTTACTTTATAGTTGTCCAACATGCTGAATCTTGTTCCAATGTCCTTTTGCAGTTATTTCTTTCTGTGCTGCTCTGGGATTCTTGATATATGGAGGGAGGTAAGACCCACAACAGCCACCTAACAAAACGCAAATTCTAAGGACCTGTTTGTTTAAGCTTGAGAACAAAGTGATTTTGATATGATAAACATTGAACAACCATCACTTGGACTTGGTAGTTAAAAAAATATGTTTTCAGCTTATCTTGATGAGCTACTTGGATTAGCTTTTTAAGAAAGCGAGTATTTTAAAAATCTAATCCAAGGAACTTATCAAAATAAACTAATCCAAGCAACAATTGCTTCGTGTTTCACTTATCAAAATCACTTTTTTTTTTTTTAAAGCTTTAGCAAGCAGGCCCTAGATCTTCTTCCCCACCATGGTAGGTGCAGTAAGGAGAGAACAGAGATAAGGATAAGTTGCACAAGCAACTTCAATCTAGATCCGTTAAAGTGAAATATCTTTGAAGTAAAGGGAGAAAGATATGTGGAATTCGCTTCTTTTATCGTCATGCATTCCATAGAAGTAAACTTAAGTCGTTTTAGAGGATCCTATTTGCCTTCCAGTGAGAGACTCACCACTTATCTCTTTTTCTGTCATTGTTGGATCCAAGCTAGCCAAAGTTCTATTGCTCTATGTCATTGAACCCTAATGTTGATGTAGGTTGTTTATCCTGTTGCTGCGCTTCCCTTTCGAATCCAGAGGCCGTATAAATAAGCTTTACGAGGTTCATATCAATATGCAAGTTACATTGATTTTTTTTAAAATTCTTGAAGAAAGTAGTGATATCTCTCTTAATTAATTTCAAATTGTGCTGAAAGTGCCAGAAGTGAAACACATTTTTTCCCCTAGACTTTCATCATGCTTGAGCTTGACTTTTCTTCCCCTTGGTAGGTTGGCTCAGTGACATGTATTTGCTGCGCTTGTTTTCTGATAAGATGTGTTATGGTGAGTTTTGTTCAAGTAGGAATTACTTTACCTAATATGAAGTTTGTGTTTCTTACAAATAACATCTTTTTCACACTTCAAAATTGTAGCTTGCATTCTCTGCATTTGACAAGGATAAAGATCTCAATGTCTTGGAACGTCCCATTCTTAACCTTGTTTATTACATGGTAAGTTTCAACTTTCAACGTTATCTTAAATACTCTTCTTCCATCTTCCTATGGTTATATTCATACATTCATATGAGCTCAAAACCCCTACTACACCTTTTCAACATCCTTTTTTACGTCCCATCACAGATTTGGGCCACAACCAAAATGGGCACTTGCATTATATATATAGTATTATTTGTGAAGGGCTGCAGAGGGGATGCAGAGAAATTATTGCAAATCAAATCAAAAAAATAAAAATCAATTTAAAAAAAAAAGAGTAGTTATTGCAAAGATCTTAGCCACTATTCATTCATAGACATACATTTACAAGAAGAGTGAGAAATGAATGTGATGATATATGAGGTCTATATTTCATTTTTACTCCCTCTGGTTTATATCATAAAGGCATTTTCTAAACGTGTTGTTTAGTCAAAAATATAGAAAATTTGGTAGTTCTTATAATTTTTTTTCTAATTATACCCTTCATTTATTATTCATTTTTCAAAAATGAGTCTATTGGAATTTCAACTATCATTATTAATGCCCTTAAATGAGGTTATAATTGAAAAAATATACAATTTTCTTAAAAGACTAAGGCTTCAACTTGCGATTTCAGTAACCATGAAGCAGTTATCAATGTCTAATATTGTAGACTAGAGGTAGTACACATGTTAATATCTTTTCTCTCCATGTTGCACTTGGAATGCTTATATATTCTAGGAAAAATATAACTTTAAATTCATGCACTTTACTCGACTTTTGCTATAGGTCCGTGTTTTTTTTTTTTTTTTGCAATGTTCTAGGTTTCTACACTTTTATTTTTCAGTGTTCTAAATCCCTATAATATCACTCATAAAGAGACTTAAAATATCAAAAAATAGAAGTGTTGAGACATAAAATATTGAAAAAAGTGCATGGACGTATAGCAAGACTTAAGTAAAATGTAGGGATCCGGAGTTATGTTTTTCCTATATTCTATTATGTGAAGGTGCTCGTGTAGGGGATCTCATGTTTTTTTAGCTGTCATTTCTTCCTTCATAAAGTGACTGTACATGCAAGTTGCTCTTCTAAAACAATTAGGCAACCTTTGTTGTGTTAGAATATGATTAGGTTTACTCATGAGAAAGAACTCGAGAACATAATACAGTAAGGGGGAAAAATCAGAAACTCTACAATTTACCAACATAAACAAAAGCATGATTATAAAATTAATACATGAAGTTTAAAATGTAGAATGCCGCCCTCAACTTTGAAAAGTCTAGAAGCAATTCTTTAGCTATGTGCCAACAAGCTGTAATTGAATAAAGTCAAGTATAATTATGAATCATAAAAAAATGTGAAAATACAATAAATGCAAGTGCCTTAAAAGTTGACATTTTTTCATTGTTGTCATGGATTAATAATTTTTAATAAGACAAATTGCTTAAAATTTTAATTTATTAAGGAAGATGTGAATGCTTGTGTGAACATTGAGTGGTGGCTGTTGACTGAGGATAGGTTTATTAATAATCATTTTCTAAAAGATGATTATGATGAGTTTGAATTATTTTTTTAAAATAACTTATTTCTGGGTCATTGAGGATGCAGTTGGTGGAGATTATTCCATCTGGTTTGGTGCTCTTCATTCTGCGGAAAGTGCCATCTCGACAAGTAACAGATCACTACCACTACCAACCTATCAGATGAAAATCAAATCTCTTCTTTTCTACCACTTGTTGTCTACAGAGTTACTAATTTCCTATTTCCTTTTGAGTAGCTTCCTGTGTAAATTCTGCAGATCATATTACATAATAAAAAGAGAGAATGGGGGAAAAACCCAAACAAATAATCTCGCGCGTGTGAAAACTACTATTGGCTAGACAGGACATGAACAGTCTGTCTTGTTTGGTGTGGTGCATTAGGTTTAAGATCTTGTTAGCGCGCGCGCGCGCGCACACACAGTTCAATTGAGCAGACAGATTCTTATCAAAAGGGGTGGGGGGCCAAAAAAGAAACAAAGAAAAAAAAAAAGAACATCAGTTCCATATTTCTAGATACGGTATTCTCTACAAGTGGGTTGCGCAGGAATTTCAAGCCGTTTGTACCTTTTTTTTTTTCTTTAATTGAATAATAAAGTACTCTAACCTTGTCAGATAATTTCTCAACAATCCACTAATGCTTAAGATAGTGATGGTGTTTGGATAAATGAATTTAGATTTCAATTTAAAATTTAAAATTTTGCAGTAAAAATTTATATATTTAAAATTCTCTACTTGAATAGAATAAAAATCTACATCTACATTGGCAAGGATAAGTTCTACTGTTTGCGTGAATAAGTCGTACTATTTGTGTGACTTGGCTGTTGGATAGTATTAAAAGATGGTTGGGATTTAAGATAATTTAGATTTAGATTTTAAAATTCTAAAAAATTGTAATAAAAATTTGCTTGAATTTGAATCAAATACAAATTCATAAAATTTATACATCTAAAGAATGGTTATGGATTTGGTTTAAAACCAAATCTAAGTCCCCTTGCATCTCAGCCTGAATCATCCCACAAGCCATAAACAGGCTATGAAAGATGAGAATTTTAGTTTCAGAAGATTCAGGAGGCTATGGCTGAACAGACAAGTTGTGATGAACAAAATCACTTAAGATAAGGATTGCATATATTGTTAGTCCTGAAATGCTCTCACAGAGTCAGTTTTCTTTACAAACTGCAATTATATGTTTATGTTGTTATCCTTTGAACAGTTTTAAATAGAAATAATCCTACCATATGAAATGAGGATCCATGAGGTCATATTACATCTCAATAGAAGACTGCAATATTTGGACTACTTCCAAAACCTGAACATATATTTGACAATCTAACCATAGCCTTCCTGTGAACAATATAAATTTGATCATATATGTGTATATATAAATATATATATACAGCATCTGCTAGGACTTCCTGAATGCCAGATAATGGCAGTTCTGGCATCTATTTACAGTGGAGAGGATCAGAGTAGCCACCACAAAGAATCAATCAAATGCTATAGGTATGAAATTGTCATCATCTAAGAGCATGTTAATATCAATAAGGTCCTCTACACCATCCACTGTCTCTTCTGAATTGATCACATCCATATCGCTTGCCTGTCAGATTTTTACAATAGCAGGAGACTTATGTCAAAATAAGAATTAAAAGGCTCAAAACAGAAGACCCTATGAAACCTAGTAGTAATCCAGTTGTCCATTCTATTTGCACATAAGATAAAGTAGTTCCCTTGGAAAAATTTAAAAAAACCATGCGCTGAAGCACCAAAAGGAAAGCCAAGAATACAATTCAATCCCATGAATCAGAGAGAAATGCCTGCATGGATGCCTCTCAGAGATCAACAACAACAACAACAAATAGCAGCACGATGTTATTATGCTTTATTAACAATCAAATTTTATTAGGAAAAACAATTTTGCAAAAATATTAATGATTTTAGGCTTCAGACATATGCTGGATGTTAGAGAGTAATACCTTGGTTCGCCGGAAGTCCTCGACAACATTTAGGAGACGCCGGTACTGAGCTCGTGCTTCTGGATACTGAACCATAGACTTCACCCTCGAAAGTGCCTTTTGGAACCGTTCTTCACTTTGTTTCCTTCCTTCCTTGAGAAAATCGTAATCATCCTCTTTTACGGCAACATTTTCTTGGCTGGCGATTTTGTTAGCATCCGGTCGAAAGCCACGTAAACCGCTGCCCTTTCGTCTCCATCGTAATATTACCTTCTCCAAAATTCCTACAGACCAGAGGACTGATTTCTGCTGCTTCCTTACCTGGTGACCTCTCACATGGGCCTGAGCACCATGAAATACAAGAATCAGAAGAATGTACCAATTGTACAATGGCCAACAACAGAGAATAAAACTCTCCCAGAAAACAAACAATCTTTCCTTGCTTTCCATAGGTAAATTATGATTTACATTTATAATAAGCTAAACTCTTCACAAACCATAGACAATGTGGCTCAAGACTCCAAAAAATGCATGGGGAAATAAGAGCAATGTTTTTTTCTTTTTTTAAGGGGGGGGGTTGTTTACCCCCTCCTCCACCCTTTTCTAAAATGAGATTTCTTCTTATCAAATGTAAATGCTACTGCTTCAGCAATCAAACTGGAAACACTTAGACTCAAGATATTGAAAATACATTACTTGAGGGTTGAGACAATTTACACTTGATTTTTCTACAATGTGGAGAGAATCCTCAATAATACCACCCACACGTGATCCCAAATATAAGAAAGCTGTGAGATGGGGAAAGAAAGATGTGAAGGTTTCACCTAAAATGGATAATTGCTTTTCCACCCTTGGTTCTCAACTTTTACACAGCTAAAATTATTAACCCAACAATACCATCAGCTTTGTGACCATAATTCCCAGAGGGGGGGAAAATGGGAATCAATTTAAAGGAAAGTAAAACAACTATGATAAAACTAACGAAAACTTCAAGGATATTAAGAAAGAAATCTAAGACTTACAACAACTAACCTGAATTTTAACAATTCTTTGACGAATTATTAGAAATTCTTTTCTTTTCTTCCAACCACGAAACTTTTTCTGTATTTGTACAGCAGCAGTATGGGCTAAATCATCTCCATACCCAGCCTTGCGTGCCTTAGAAGCTACAAGGGACAGGGCTTGCTGATCTGACAATCCAAACTCATCATCTTCAAACTGAGTCAACTGTTTCCGCTGAAACGACTGCATTCTAAACACTTGGTATATACGATCAGCTGCCTGTGTAGCATTACGGACAGCGGTAAGGGAATCCTTAAGGCAGAGAGCATCTGGCATATCACCGCAAAACCCTGGTGTTGCAGCTCGCTTTGAAACTGTCTGTACTACTTCTACTTCTGAAGCTCTTTGCCCAACATCTTCCTTCTGATCATTCATTGTGAGGGTTGAAAGGTGGCCGGTTAATGAAGACTCGGCAAGGAAACCAGAGATTCCTTTGTGCCCATTGCTAGAAGCAAGATCTGCTGCTGATCTACCAGAGGGAAACGTTGGGCATGGATCTGTCAATGCCCCAGCATTTGCACCCATGGAAACAACAAGTACAGCGACTGTCCGTTCCCTGCACAATTGAGGGTAAAAAATTACAAGGAGCCAATTTGCTTTATGCTGAGCATAACATATGCGAGAAAGATTTCAGTATAAAGAATAAAAATTATTTTCAATTGATGCTAAATGAAGAATGTCCTATATGTCCAACATCATCTGGTTTGAAATGAAGAAAGCAATCACTTGGTGACTTTCAGTGAGCGAGTTTACTTCTTCCACAGGAAAACAACGTAAACTCTGCACTAAAATTTCAATTTCATGAAAATAGAGTAAAATCTTAATTGGGTAAAAATGTGTCTCACTTCCAAGCAAAAACCATAGTTCTTAGTTCGATTCCTGTCAGAGGAAATAACTAAATTTGCAACAAAATCCACATTACCAACCTGCCATAGGATGCAGCCCAGTGCAGAGCTGTCCATCCATTTACATCCCGAAAATTGATATTTACTCCAGCAGTAACGATTGACATTATTGCCCAATCATAACCAAGAGCAGCTGCTAAATGAAGCGCGCCTTGCCCCTCTTCATCTAAAACATTTGGCCCTTTACCATCTTCAATTACTTTGTGAAGCAGCCAAGAGTACAGCTTCTCTTTAACTTGCATGTAGAATATTAACTCCTTCACTTTTTGCTGGGACGCATTTTTCTCCGACATCAGCTCTTCCCTGTCTGAAAACGCCTCTTCATCCTTTAGCGTAATGAGCTCAAACATTAAGTTTCTTTTCACCTCATCATTGTCAAAGCTGTAATTCAAAGGGTGCGATGATTTTGAAGAAAGTAGCTTCTCTAGTCTCAGATGAAGCTGTATTTCAGTTGAACTGTTGTAGAAATCTGAAACATCAACATTTTCAGCGAAGCTCTCTGTGTAATCAAATTCCCGCACTTCACTACAAGCCAACCTATTGGAGCATGTTACATAGAAGGGAACCCGTCCAACCTTGAGAGGCGGAGCCTGACAGCACAAAATTCCACTGGCCAGAACCTCAGCAGGGACCTCAACTTCCCCAAACATACACGACCAGTTACAATTCGCTACCTCTGTTTGACTCTTCAAAAAGGTTCCAATTATCAAAACCTGCGTGGTTTTAGATGTATAAGTTGTCTGTCAAATCACAGAAGCATTTTTATCATGTTGCGCCAGAAATTCAAAGAAAAACTTGAATGAATAGTTAAAAATACAGAAAAATGTAAAAATCCAAAAATAAAAATAAAAAGGGATGAAAAAGCAGGACAAATAAATAAATAAAAGATCATAAAATAATACTTTTAATTTTAAAGAACACATACTAAATCTAACCCAAAAAAAAAAAAAAAACAAGTGACCAGCACAACAGCAGGTAATATCTGGAGCAAAAGACTCACTGCAACTCATCCTCCATGAAATAAATGTATCGATTTCAATTTCAACTCCAAGAATACGGAAGGAAACAGGAAACGAGACACAGTAAATAATGGGCCAAAAAAGACACCAAAATTGTTTATAATCATTTAAGCAGAGTACCTCTGTTTCCAATTCAGCATAAGCCCAGTTAGGTGAAAAATCATTTATGCTAAACAGCTGGTCCTGTGAGAGGGAGGGGCTCAACGAGGAATCATCTATCACATGCCCACATTCATCAGCGCTCCAGGAAATGCCAGGTGATGACTGCATACGAAGATCATCCACCTCTACAAGTTCTTTAGTAATCCATCGAGAGAAGCTGTCTACTTTCTTTAGGCTTTCCTCCCCATCTAACAAGGAACGCCTCATAGTCAAGGCATAATTAATACTTTCTTCAGCGGGAACTTCATTCCCAGAATTGTATTTCATTGAAATTTGAGATTCAGTATCGTTATACTGTTCTGGAAAGTTTTCCAGCAAGGGCTCCCTTTTCGGCTGACAGTCTAAAGTTACTGAACCAGAAGCAACATCAGGTCTTGGATTATGTGTTTCATGTTCCAGCAAACCATTGCTAAAATCATATCCATATTCCAAACCCAGCGATTGGGTTGTAAGTCCTTTGCACATCTGTCCTGGATTACTTTCAAAAGGGATCTGGATCAACAGTTCAAATAGAAGAATGAATTACACTAAAATATGAAGCTTGCAGACATTGCAGTTAAAAGATAAATGAGACACCAAGCAAATAAATAGCTGCTCCTCGCCAAGATTCTTAACAATTATGCAATCACTATTCACTACCTGATCCAGTAATCCAGCAACAAATTTTACTACTAAACGTTCATCAATGTAAAGTGACACATTAAAAACAGGGCATGAAAAAAAAATATTTATGAACCTTCACTAAAACTGTTGAATTGAAATGGCCCTTGACATTTTTTTGGGTCAAAGCCCATGACATGTTAGTGAAGTATTGATATGAAACTAATCACAACCTTGCAACCTTCACAGAATCCCCGAGAGAATTTCATATTGCAGAAAGAACATACGTTGTATGCTTATAAATTTCAGATGCTTGAAATGTCAAGCACCAGCTCCCATAATTCCCTTCTTCCTATATGATACCACACTCTAGCAATCCCTCCACTTTTCCAAAAAAAAAAAAGCTACAAAACAAAGAGAATCACCCAAGCCAAAACCTACCAAGCACCATGACATTCAACAATTATATATTGATCTTCAAGGACAAATGAAACTACGTAGCAACAAGATGCCAATCATGTAATTTTGAAATTTAGATATCCCCCAGCTTATAAGACGGTTCAATTTGTAAGCACATGTACAATTAAGCAAGGGACTATCCATTTTTTTTTTTTTCATTTTAACTTAGCAGATTAGCATAGTTGTCACAGTAACACTAGCTAATCTTGTAACTTTTGACAAGAGAAATCAACCTGGAAATCATGGCAAGGCCGATATCATGACTCCACGGCAGCCTATTGACAAGAAAAGAAAAGAGAAGTCTATCCAATTCAACTATCGTTTTATGCACTAGAAGGTATGCATTCCTAGTATAGCTGGTATACCACAATTTTAAAGGATGAATTCTCAATCCTTAACAATAAATAATCCCAGACGATGCTACTGGCAGATATGGTAAAAATAAGCATCATGTACCTGCCACTTTGATTGGAGGGACTGAGAACTCCCATCTGGCCCTATGAGGACACTTTTCATGGCTAAAACGTCAGCTGGAACAGTATTTTCTGGTTCAAGAATGTTTCCTATTGAATTGGATGGGATAGAAGGAAATGATGCAAGGGATGGATCAGTAGATAATCCATTTGTACATTGTTCAAAGCTATTGTCCCGTAATCCCGTTCCATTTGCTTTTTTGCCATCATTGAAAGAAGTGCTAGCATCAATGCCTCTAAGTTTATCTCCCTGAACTTGTAAAACATAGTTTGCTCCAGAAATCAATGACTGTCCATGATCACCTGGAAATATTCTCAAATGTAGTCAGATGTTAAATCTCAAATATAGCCCATAGAATGAGTGATTAAATAACACAAGTCATCAATAATCATGTTAAGGGGGAAAGCCCATAAAACAGCATTGATTTCTGGGGGTACTGAACAAAGTGAAAAGGAAAACAAGCCCAACAAAAGAATAGAATGAGACTAGGACCTGTATCTTGATAAGATTATTAAGAGTCCTTCCATAATCTTTTAGCTGCATATGAATATTAGAATGGCATAGTTCAACATCCTTTAAATTTAATATTATTATAATGCAAGGCTTTAAAAGAATAAGATTATGCCCGTTGCATCTCTCTCTCTCTCTAGAAGGTAAGGAAAGAGCCAAAGACAATCAGTATACTGTTCTGACTTTGATACATGACAGTAGATACAGTTATATAGGGATGAACCACATTAAAGGAGGACTGATTTACTAATTGATGCCCAGTCAAACAAGGGGGGCAAAATTATGGGAAAGATTATTTACAATCTGTACAAAATTAAGGCTCAATAGAAGCAAAAGTTGACAAAATAAAAAGGTAAGAAATCTCCCATCAATTCACTAGGAATAAAGAGTCAGGAATTCCACGTCCTTACTGAGTGGAAAGCTTAAAAATAGAATTAGGGTATGATAAATTTTCAAGAAGATATTGTAGCTTTCCAAATGATCCAATCTTATATAATATAGTAGATCAAATTCCGTCGTTTAGTTGTCTTCAACTGTATAAACATAGTATTAGATTTTGACACAACCTTAAAACTTAATATTTCCAAACCACTTTCTATAAGGTCCTATGTATTTTCAAGTTTTATTAGTGCATATCCTGCATCTATGTCAGTGCATCATAAGTCAGGTCACAAAAGAATAAGAAAAAAACAACCAAAAAAAAAAACATAAGAGTTACCAGAGTCAGCATCTTCACATAAGGATGTCAAAGTGCTCGTTGGGCTCATGGCATCCGTACTTCTTGAAGGCACAGTATTATAATCTCTCGAAAAACCAGATGATGCAGAGCTGCCTCTTTGAGAATCTGATGAAACCTCATCAATATCTGGTTTTCCTCCAACACTTGTCTTATGACCCTAAGAGAATGGAACTCAAAATTATCTATTAATATTTTAATCGAACATACAAATCTGTCAAGACCACAATTCTAAAGGAGGGACCTCCACATTAGCCATCTTTACATGCTTTCTGCTTGATTTCCATTACGTAAGGGATTCTTAACTACTGTACAGTATGGCGATAGATAAAGGACTCAAAGAACTTTTATAGTCATAAATCACAAGTCTCATGATAGGAAGATAATGGCATAATTTATCAGCCCAAGAGTAAATGTCATGTAATATATTTAAAATGTCCAAGCCATTATGCTTGGCCTCTCAGCTTTCTTAAAGATGAAGAGAATAATTTCTATAATTTATTACACAAAAACCAAGATAGAACATAGAAGCTGGATTAGCATAAGGCATCATAGTCAAAGGTTTTGTAAGAAAATGTAGGAAATTTAACCCTTCATTCCAAGTCAGAAAGATAGTATTGAAGATAAAGTGCCAAAAACCAATTTGGCTCATGCCATTCAATGCCATCAGCCATCACAATTTAAACTAGATCAACTAGGGAACTCATCTTGCTTTAATGAAGCCTGACTAACAGATCTTCCGCATCTTTTCTATTAAGCCATATTTACATTTAGACTTTAACATAGTATTTGATTGGAGAGATTTGGAGGGGAGGGGAGGGGAGGGGAGAAATTTAATGAATTTACCTCCCTTCCCATCAACCTATTAATATAATGAATAAAATATCCATAGTTAGAAATTTAATGAATTTACCTCCCTTCCTATCAGCCTATTAATATAATGAATAAAATATCCATAGTTATTTTCTTAGTTATAAAATTACACTTATCGTTTGTTATTTTTTAAATTACAAATTATCCTTCTCTACTTTTTGTGTTAAAATAAGGATCATATTGTATATTATTTGTGTTGACTAAAACAATTTAACTAATCAAACAGATAAATAAAGTATTTATGTGCAAGCCACTTCAAGGATGCAGAAAATATTGACCCTTTTATAAACCCCTTGTACCAGCAACGGTGAATCACATGTCCATTTCAGGGAGGGAGGGAGATAGGACAAAACCAGTAGTAGCCTTAGATAGTGTCATTAAGGAGTAAGAGAAGTCAATTTAGTCAAAACCAGTAGAGTTGCCAAATAGGCGAAGACTTAAATCAACCATTTGTTAATGAATCTATGATAGATTCTCACAACTCATAAGGACTCAATCACAAAATTTGAAAATTATAAGAACTCATTACAAACTTTTAAAATACAGAGACCAATTCGAAACTAAGGAGAAACTACAGGTACCAACAAAGTAAATAAATCTTTCCATAAAACAGACTACTAATAATGCAAGCTCATGTTCAGTGACATCATCCAAAGGAAGAGAGGTCCCACAATTTCATCAACATTTACATAAACTCAATCTGCAACACTACTTGCAACTTCAGCAACTTGACTGTGAATTTAACCAAGCTGAGTTACAACACTACTCATGAATCGTTTAGCAAAAGATCAGCATAAATCATGTAAGTTGCGGCTTTTAAATCTAAGAAAAACATTAGTAGCTAGTCTTTCAACCAAGTCAAAGACAAACCCTGCAACCCATTATTAACAATTAACATATCCCAAAGAGTGAAAATTACATTGAAACAATAGATTTAACAAAAACTGTACCACAGGCAATAATAAAAAAGGACTACAGTAACAAATAAAATTAAAGAAATACCTTAACTTCCAAGTAGTGGACGAAAACAATGTGCATCATATCCCTGTAGTGAAACAAATTGATCATAAACCCATATTCTGATCAATTTCAAATAAGATATTCAGATCCCATTCACAGGGTGCATATTCAATTTACATTGACCTGTCAGTAAATTTATACTGAAAACTTCAAAATTTGCTAAAATTTGAAACTCCAATAGCATGTGTATCATTATCTACATGGTGAACCAAAATAACATAAAACTACAAGTCTACAAGGGCACTATTGCACCAACAACTAATCAGGTCTAAGGGCAGCTACCAAGTCAAAACAGACAAACCATCTGCTATCAATTGTAAAACAGAAAATAATGAAAAAAAATTCTGGCCAGCAATGTAGTTCAGACTCACTGTTCAAGCAACCAATAGCTTCGCCTCTGGAAATTTTCATTTTCTTCTCCATGAGCATAGTAGCAATGTAGTACATCAACACTTCCCACCTAATATTGCTTGAAGGAAGTTAAACTTTAGCATATAATTATTTAGATTATGAAGACTTGTTCTTTGCTCGAAAAAGAAGACTTATTCTCCGGCAAAATCATAATCACTGGAGAAAAAAAAAGAGTCACCCAGCCACCTAGAAGATATATTCTTGTCCTAAAAGGACTAGATTAATCACAGACGAAGTTATAGGTAAACCAAAAGCTTACCTTCAACTTTTCATGAGCTTCCTTCACAGTCTTTCCATCTTTTTTCTTTCTCCAATTATGTCCATCCTTTCTAAAATATCTCAATACCTTCCTATCAAAAAGAAAAAGTGAACCACCTGCAATAGTGAATTATAAGTCAAGCAGCAAACTCTATTACAGCATGAATAAATAATGAGTAGACTTATAAGATGTCCCTTGGGGATCTATAAGAGATTGATAAGCTCTTTTGATTTAAAGAATCTTGGTTATTTCTTTTTCTTTTTGTTTTCCTCACAATCAGGGAGGATCACTTGTCTACTGTTATTCTATTGTTCCCTCTTAAAGTCTCTCGTTTATCCAAAATTAAAAAAGGTGTAATAAGGTTGCCCACGAACAGCAAGAAAGATTTCAGCCAGAAGAACAAGAAGCTAAAAATAATATCATATGAACTACTCAACTTGATATACTGTAATGCTGTATACTTTAGCTTCCATTTTTCCCCCCTTTTTGGCCAAGTTCCCCTGTAATGCTTCTAATCATTGAAATTGAATATCTAGAGTTTACAGGAGTGGGAATTGAGTAACACACAACTAGCAAATTTAAAATACTGCATAGCATCAAAAATAATTATATTTGCTTGGTTGTAAAAAAGAAGGGCAAGAAAGCGGTGTCCAACCTCTGATGAATGGCAACACCTATATGGCTGCCACTACCCTTTAATTCTTTGAAAAACTATCTCAGTTAGATTTGAGTCCAGTACCAAACAATTTAACCCAACTAAACAAGAATTGCATACTTTAAATGTAATGATAAATTTATCAGTAACAGGTGCAGAAACCATACTCGGTGGCATGTTTGGAGGTTCTGATGTGATATGAAACATCTGATAATTACGAAGAATTTCACAAATTTCAGCAGGCCGCAGCCAACGATGCTGGGCTTCAAATTGTAATTGCTGAATATCTGCAAATTGGAAACCTGAGATTTAGCCATATATTTGATTGTTGTATCATCACATTCAAAGATAAATCCAACGAGTTTTCAGATTAGAACACAAACAAATAACACATAATGAAGGAGGCTGGGGGAAGGAAAATTTTAATCAGAAACATAAAAACCTATTGTTCATTAAATCCGTGCTCAAATTTAAATACAAAACTAATGTTCTAGTTATGGTCAGCCAAATCATCTCTTGTCATCATTACTTGACTTCATTATATCATTGTGAAAACTATAATACGCTCCGTTCCTTGTGATCTGCACCCCATTGCATGTTAATAACTTTATTTTGTAGATTCATAGTTTCAGGTAATCCTTATGTCACCAAAGCATTGAATCATAAAATAACAATGGGCTATTAGCCATCAGGACTTGATTATAATTTTGTGAATGTAATTCCAATAAACCCTTCCTTCAAGCTTATGAAGTTATCGAAGACCTGCCTTGTCAGAATGACAACAAAAAGAATTTCCCATACTTTGTCTTTGCCCTTGATTCAGTTTCGCTCATTGTAAAGGAACCGGCGTTTAGCAATTACTTTCTCTCCAAATTACAAAGCATGCCTCTCAAGGGTTTTGATCTCTGTTGGTCAATCTATTCTTCCATTACCACTGCTGTCAGCAAAGCCCAGGGTTAATTCCCCCATGACATTAAGTGTATAGCAGTAAATGATGCGGGACAAGATACATTAGCCCGAGCTTTCAAAAAAATTAGCTACCAGCTGCTTAATCCAGGAAGCTCGCTTAATGTAACTGGACTTCTTAAAGGCCAAACATTCTGTTGGCACGGTTAAATCTACATGCAAATTAGCATCTACCAGATTTTTTTTTTTTTCCTTTTACAACATTCGCTTTCTTCAGCGCAGTGATCTATTTTATAATTTATTTGAGCTAATCCATAACGTTATCTAAATGCATTTAAAGAAGCTTCTCCACCTCCAGAGTATATCAATTGAACTAATAGGGTTTTGAAAGAAGCCAAAACTGTCGTCCAAGAGCTTCAAACCCAAAAGGATACCGTTTGCAATCACCCCCATCGACTCATCAGGAAAACATAATTCCAGGATCGAGATGTGAAATATTGGAGAGCACCGCAATGAAAAATCCCATAAATAAAAAAAGGGTAATCAAAGCGAAAACTGGGTAAAGATTATTAAAGTGATTAAAAAATAAAAACAACAGAGAAAATAAACTGACCTAATCGAGGACCCAGCCCGAAAGAATCACGCTCCGCCATGGCTAAAACTGAATTACAGATCAACGCAGAGGAGGAGATGAATACGATGGATTCGGCTCTTTTCCCCTTTTTCCTCTTTTCCAGTCAGCTTATCAAATCTCAAGTGACGTACGAAAGTGGAAAATCGGGACTCGAAATGAAATCTTCGAAAATGGAACAAAAATATATCAAAGGGAAATTGATTTTTGCATTTAAATTTTATTTAAAAAAAAAAAGTGTCTAAGACCAGTGAATTCTGGACATTTGTTGTCTAGCGCTTCCGTGAGCCGTCCCTGTATCCGGATCATGAGATCATCAATCAATCAAATCTCTTAAAAAAATGGAAAAAATTACGGTGAAAGTCCCACGATCAAACGGAATGAAATAAATTATGAAAATCATTTTAAATTCCTGCATATAAAATCTAAATATAAAAAATATTATAAAAACATAAAATTATGTTTAAGTGTTATATTTTTAATTAAAATTTTTAATTGCTGCTATTAGCAAAAAATAGTAATTTGAATATAGAAATTTAATAACTTTGATAAAAAAAATATGGGTCTTCAAAATAATATTATGAATTTATGAGATTTTATTTTTATATTTCTTATGTGGATTTTTTGTAATAAATTTTAAATTTTTAAATTATTTTTAAAATAATTGTTAAATAAAAATCTTTATTTTTCTTGTTAAATAGGAGTAATTTCATTCGGTCAAAGATACGGAAGTGGTCAAACAATAGCCCACCTTCCCAAGTTCCAACAATTCCAAGTAGTTCAGCAAAATATGATAAATAAATAAATAAGACAAAAGGCTCTTAGCTGTTTTATTCTGCCTTCTCCAATAGCAACCAAAATAAATTAAATAATTTATGTCGTTGTGATTAATTAGAAAAATTAACTTATTTGAATTTGTATATTTATGATTTGAAGAGAATCTAGTCTAGATCTTGATTTCTCAACTTTTTGAACATTCCGATTCTAATTTTAAACAATAGCATATTTTACATTTAAAACCTCTTCCGTTAAATTCATAATATATATTAATATATACAAGTAACAAAAAATATTGCGTATCAAAATAATAAAATAGCATTAACTAAGTGTAAAGAGAAAGAATTATTTGTACCAAAAAAAAAAAAAAAAGAATTATCATCAAAATTTGAGCGTCTTTATCAGGTTAAAATATATATATATATATATATATATATTAGGTGCTCTCTCAGAGAATTATGTACTTGTACTCTAACTAGTTCGAAAATCCAAAATTAAATAAATTTCTTAATTATATTAGTTCCCAAAGATGTTAAGGAGGGGGAAAAAAGGAGAAATTCCTTTCATTATTCATTGGGATGGTCAAAGTAAATTGCCTAATTAAAATTAATAAACTGTAGATTGTTAAAATTAAATTTATACAATTTTGAGATATAATACATTGACCATAATTAGGTGAAGTGAATAATGAATTTACATCTTTTTTTTTTTTTGCAAAATCTCAAGTTTTAGCTCTGATGATGAAAAAAAAAATAATGTTCTCTTTGAACCTCATTAGAATATAGGTTATTCAACCAATCGATGTTAGTCATAGTAAAAGGGATTATGACTGCCTTAAATATGATATCTCAAATTTTGAGTTCGTGTAAATGTGAAAAATATTTTTGGGAGAGTTAACTCTATTCAAATTCAACAATACTTAAATTTGATCAAATCAAAAAATATATCAAACGAATAATATAAATTATTCAATAATTCAGTGATAGACGCTATCCATGTGAAGCATTTCAACAAAAAGTAGTTGAAAATTAAAAAAATCATGGGTTTCTAGAATATAAATTTATTTAATGCCATTATGAAGACCATTTCTTTATAACTGCTTCCTTTGACGTAAAGATATTTTCCAGGCAGCCTAATGTATATCTCAACATGCATGTATGTTGTTGCTTTAAGCATCTAGCGACTTTGTTTGTAATATTACTTATTTAATTACTTAGTGGAGGGTCAATGAATAGATTAATATGGTGTTCAAGAATTAAGGAAGTGTCCACTTATTATTTAATTGGACGATCTAATGGTAAATATGTAAAACTAAATATATGAGTTTTGTCCAATTCTAAGGATCACAAAGCTTTCAAGCCAGTACTCTTGCCTTTAGTATCAATTGAATAATATAAATTAAATTGATAATGATAATGATTGTATATAGATTTTTATAAAGTAATGGAAAAAACTTATATACTTATATTTATACACTTAAGTTGCTTGTTTCTAATTAAATTAAAACATAATATATGTTTTATAAATTATATATTTTATAACAAATTTTTATTATTAATATTATTAATACATTAAAATTCACAAATCTTGCTTTGATCTGATAAAAATATGTTGAATATATAAAGTTAAATACATCAATTTTAACCTAAAATAATAAAGAGGTGGGAGTAAGTATTAAAATACCATCCATTACTTAATATAAGGACAAAAGGGGAGAAACATTCATTATCAAATGTAAGTAAATATAAGAGAAAACTAATCTTTTGGTAATTAAAGTTTTAACTCACTTATAACTCAATTTTTTAAATATGATTAATTACAACTCAATTCTTGTATTTTTAACTTATTTAAAATTCAGTCCCCAATCTTCCCATTATTTATAAATGGGAAAACATAACATTTGGTCTATATAGTTCATCAGGTTTTGTTTTTAATCTCTGTAGTTTTTTTAGTGTTTTCAGTTCCTATAAAAACTAAAACCATTGAAAAAAAATAAAAATTATAGGAATCTAAAAACCAAAAGTCATCCAATTTTTTTTTTGAAACTATAAAGACTAAGAACACTAAAAAAATCATGAGAATTAAAGACAAACTCATACGAAACTATAAGCACCAAAGATTATATTTTTCCTTTATAAATTAATTGTTGAGTCATCACTGAGTTATCCTGTATGGCAAAAAAATATAAACATAATTAAAAGTTGGTTATGTGGCTTTAACTCAATTCCATTTGAATTTTGAAATTCAAAAAAATAAAAAAAGTCAGGCGTCTTAGCTCAAAAATACTTAACGTCGCCGCTAATTAGTTCAACTTTTCATTAATCTCCAGCCCAAAGCCACGTCCCTATGTCCCTCCTCTGCTCGAAGCATCCATGTTTGTGAAGTGACATAACCAACTTTTAATTGTGGTTACAATTTTTTTTTTTTTTTGCCAATCAGAACAATTCAGTGATCAATCAACATAAGTTATGGATGACAAGGATAAATTTTTAAATGATAAAAAAGATTAGAGACTAAATTTTAAGCAAGGTAAAAGTACAAGCATTGAATTGTAATGAGTTATATTAAGAATTGAGTTTTAAATAAGACAAAACTTTATGTATCAGAATGTTAACTTTCCTGAAATATAATTTCAATGAATATTTAATGTGATATTTAAAAAATTTCCTTTATAATTATCTATCTATTTACATATTCATTCACTATCTAACCACTCTACACTGCACCTATTTACTGAGGGAAAAATGGGAAAGATAATTTTTTTAGACATGAAACCATTTTTTTTTTAATATAGAGCAAAAGTAAACATTTAATTATAAATTATTTTTTGAGAAATATTGGGTAGCTTTTATTATGGAAGGTACAAAGAAAATGATTAACTATAAAAAATGGACCATCCAATGCCTTCTCGTTAATATTGATCAAATGTCATTTATTTTTAAACTTATGAGATTCACAACTCTTTAATCTTCTTACTTTTATTTTAAATCTCTACTCAAAAAGAAGAAGTTTAAAAGTTATTATTTGAAGACATTTACAAGAATGATGTCAATAAAATTTAAAAGGAAGAGGATGAAGAAAATATTTCATTCAAATATTTGTGATAATTTAAATGAAGTAGTAATTTGAATTATAACGCTACTAGGTGTGAGAGAAATTTGATTCAAATGCTTCATTTTTTATAAAAAAATATAAATGTATATATATATAAATATAGATGCATGCGTATAATTACAAGTAGACATGCACAAGACGTGGATTCCATAAATGCCGAAAAGTGATAGTACATTATTATATTTTTAACTCACGGATAATAAAATCGGTTATAAATTTTGTATTAATAGCCTCCCACCCGCCTCCTTGTTGCCGCATCCCTTGTGGACGGTGAAGCAGCCATAGCCATAAATTTTGACATTCAAATTCATACACGTAATTCAATTAATTAGATACAAAAACACAGACACATGATCATTCATTCAATGTTCAAACTTGGTTAACTGGTTTATTTTCATCAAATCTAAAAACGGTTAATATAATTTTTATCAATGTGTTTTGTGGGACAATTTTTTTTTGCCATATTTTAATATGTCACAAGTACTATTGTTTTTGTACCAAATTATCAATAACTATTTTTTTTATCAAACATTCCTCCATCTTAATTTATAAAATACTTTTAAGATGAAACACTTTCACAAAGATAACGTTTTATTAGTGATGTTTTGTTCAATATTATCATTTTTAATATATTCTCTTTTTCTAATATTTTTCACAAGCAAAGTATTAAATAAGGGTATTTTTAAATATTTATATTTTTATTTTGAAATAAATTATAAGGTGTATTTAATAAGTTATATTGGTCTAAGTAATTTTGTCTAAAAATATTTTATAAATTGGATGAAGAATTATCTATTTAAGTCATGGGTATATGAATATTACATAGTCCCAAATCATGGATTGCCTTGATGATTTTAGAGTTGAACTTGAATTTGATAATATGAGAAATGCTTTAAAAACCAAATCAAATGATGAATTGGAAAGGTAAGTGGATCACAAGTCACATGATTTAATTGGTTAGACTGGTGGTTGAATCGGTAAAATAATAATTAAATAAAAATAATATTTATGTACATATATATTAAAAAATGGGTCAAAATGGTTCAACCATTTTTTATTTTAGTTTTTTTCTTCAAGTCTTCAAAAACCACCTAAGTCAAAGCAGGCCAATCTCGGTCAATTATCAGAACGGGTCAAATGATTGACCCAAACCCTTTTTTTTCTTTGGGTGATGATCCAACTGTCCAAATTGGTCTGGGGTCTGAAAACAGTGAACAGGAGTGATTTTTTGATATTGATCCTAATGAATTAGCATAATATATCTGATCTCA